CACATTAGTCTGAACCATAGACAGTAAAAAAAAGATGGACGACGCCCCTTCGCTCTCTTCCATTGGTGAGAACTGAAGCCGCCAATGTCCCGATATGGCGCTGACATCTTGGGACTTGAGTCTGCGCAGTAACGATCTCGGGACCAGACCTGCGCAGTAGTGAGCAGGAAGTAAAGCCGCGAAATCAACGCTCCGCCCTCACTCTCGCAGAATGCACTCTCCTTGCACTTATTTTAAGTGGCCTATGTCTGCTCCGTTCCTCCGTTCTGCTCCAATTTTGATGTCTGTTGATTGCAGTACGACAAGAGGCTTGTTAAAATAAAGTAAATACGATCTCCTCAGTCCTCCGAAGATCCCGAAAAAAAGTCCGTTGGTGCTTCAGTGACAGAGAACCTGTCAATCATGACGTTACACCACCGTTTTATAGCATCACGTAACTAAGTAAAAACAAACTTATTTTAAAAACAGACTCTTGAACTTACATCAGCGTGATAAAAACGACAGCAAATGACCGAAACCACCTTTGGAAAAAAAATATTTGAAGTGTAATTTAATTGTTTAGTTGGTGTCATGTACCGTTGAATAACACAGGGAGGCGGGGTTTATGACCTATACTAGGACCAGTCACCGGGGGGCGATCGAGACGTTTTGGCTTCACTTTTCAGGGCTTGTGCGGCACGCTTGGTCTGAACCATAGACTGTAAAAAAAGATGGACGACGCCCCTTCGCTCTTTTCCATTGGAGAGAACCATAGACAGTAAAAGAAATGGACAGAGCCATCTCATTGGAACTCAGTTGAGACAGTTGAAGCCCACTTTTAGCGATTTTTGAGAACTTCCGTTCCTGACGCGCAGACTCAAACCGACTCAAACTAAGCTTGATGACGTGAGCAACCTGTCTGACAGACGTTAATCTTCTAGTAGCTGTGCGTGAAAACTGCCAACGTTAATCTTGCAGAGACGGGGAACTTGAGCAAAGAGTCCTTTATCGTGAGTGAGCAGGAGTATGTATTCCGTTGCTTTTATGGACTCATTATCTATGGGCTTCTCCCTTGACGGGACGTCCCCCCGATCGCCTGCGAGCTTCTCCTCCTGTCTGTACGGTAATTTCTGTACAGCGCGACAGAGAGTCGAGTGGTTATGACGCAATCGTTAGCCTATTTTTTACAAAATCTGTTTCTACGGGGCCATAGTGTAACATAGAAGGTAATGGAGCCCTTTATACATTGTCGTGTTTCTTTAGAAATAAATAATGGACAAATGGAGTCTTTAAACGCCTCAGATGTAAAGTTATTCGCTGTCAAAGTGACGCAAAAATGAATGGGAGTCAATGGAAATGCTAACGCAAGTGAAGTTCTGCTACAACATGGCGGCACCCGGCCGGCTTCAACTTCCGGTCGATGGATTACCCCCTTGGAGAGAACTGAAGCCGCCAGAGTCCCGATATGGCGCTGACATATTGGAACTTGAGTCTGCGCAGTAGCGTTTTCGGGACCAGTCATGCGCAGTCGTGAGCAGGAAGTAAAGCCGCGAAATCAAGGCCCCGCCCTCGCGCTCGTTGAATCAATCGCAAGCACACGCCCTGCACTTTTCTTAAGTGGCCTTGTCTGCTCCGTTCCTCTCCAATGATGTCTGCTGATTGCAGTACCTCGTTAAAATAAGGTAAATACAACTACTAACCACATAGTCAACATTATGAAAAAAAGTCCGTTGGTGCTTCAGTGACTACTTCGCACAGAGAACCTGTCAATCACAGCTGTCAATCATGATGTCACAGCACCGTTTAAAAACAAACACTTGAAATTACATCAACGTGATAGAAACAACAGTAAATGACAGAAACTATCTTTAGAAAAAAGATATGTGAAGTGTAATTTAATTATTTTTGTTGGTCTCACGTCCCGTTGAATAACATGGGGAGGCTGGGCTTATGAGCTATACTAGGACCGGTCACCGGGGGGCGATCGAGACGTTTTGGCTTCACTTTTGAGGGCTTGTGCGGCACGCTTGGTCTGAACAGACAAATTGCATGCAGATCAAAACTTAATGTTCATATTGTATTTTATACTTATGATCACTGACTTGATCGTTTTTGAAGTTGATATTTTAACCATTGTCATATGCAATGCTTTGTGGGATAAGTAGTTAATTCACAATCATTTTCCTTTAATGTTTGAATAATTTTTGCCTCAAATCAAATGTTTTAATCTGGTCTGTGTTTCTCAAAAGCATTGAGAGTAAAGTTGATCCTAGAGACCCATGGTGCCACTGGTTCTACGATCTGCCTTTGAAAAATGCATGGTTGGTTTGGTTCAATGTCCAGAAGTGTTGACGGAAACATTTTCTGACATGCTTTTTACAAGAGCCAGGTTTGCTGAATAAGTGGGCGCTCGCTCACTAGAGCTCCATTGGAATCAATTGTGAGTCAATTTGAATCTACCGAGAAGAAAATCGAGTCTCCTGTGGCATGTAGAGTTGCTGTGTGTAGTATAGGAGGAGCATTTCAATTTTCAAATCAGTCACTTGGTTCAGTCAGGATGTAGGCAGTCGACAGCAAGGCACTTCACTAGGGTTTAGAACAGAGCTTTATACTGAAGAGAGAGAAGTGGACAGTGATTTACTGAGAGGACACAAGAAGTCAAATGAGACCCGATTATTAATAGTAGCATTTGATTCGTTAGGCCACCAAGAAAGTGATCTCTCTCAAACACACACACACAGAGACACACATACAATTCTTCATTCTCCTGCGTGTTGCATTATGACCCGGTCTATCCTGAAATAGACATAGGGTAAGCCAGAGTATATAAGACACCCAGTGGACCCCCATCTCTCACCTTGGGCTCTTTTACTCTCTCCAAGTCTCTCCTCCCGCCAGCTTTCCCTTCATACAGGTATGGATAGAGTTTAGGCATATCGTTTTCTTGGATAATTCCCTAAAAAACAGACATTAATGAAACAATAGCTAACATAAAGGAAGAGTAAATCATTTGGTCTTGAAATAATCTGATGAGAAAATTTGAGAATTTTGATTCCAGACAATTATCTTGGGAAATCCATGTGAGAGGAGAAACAGATTATCGGGGTCTTTTTCTTCAGGACTTGATCACAATTTAATCTCATTCCTGTCGAGGAGTAACATTTTATTATCATTTCTATCTTTCTATTGGGTTGTTTGCATAATCTGGCTCACCATATAACCAAGAGCAGCCAACCACTGTAAACTTGAAAGATACTTTAGGGACTATTAGGGGTTCCTCAGATCTCCAAACTGGCTGAACCCTCGGGAGAACCTCTAGACACATTTTGTAAGGTGCCTCTGCCTCAAATGTCCTAATTGTGTTTTTGAGGAACTTGTATACTTTGTACTCTGTATATTTCAATTGACTGCTGAAAGTTCTTGCAAGAACTTGTGGGTTTTTTAGTTCCTCAAGTCAAAGGTCAATTCTTTGATTCATACAAAGGTGTCTAGAGGTTCTCCAGAGGTTTGCACTGGTGTGACCCCAAATGCTGCTTCAATTATCTTTATTTCTACTGTGTAAAGTTAGCTTGTGACTTTTTAAACCACTTGTAATTCGTCAGAAGGTTATTTGTCAAAAGACCTTACAATCTTTCTTGACAGTCATGCATCAGAACGTTCTGCATGATTTATATCTATATGTCTAAGTAGTTTTCTCTGGCGAAGTTACTGTAGCAGCTGCACAAATAGTTGCATAGAGCCTGTAAACACCTGCTGCGCAAGTAAGAACCGTTAAGAAAACACCATCTCATCTGTCATGCCATGTATTTTTACATTTGAAATTGAATTCTCCTCGTTTGTTGTGCTATCGCTAGCCAGCGATTTCTCGTAGCAGTCTGTCATTTCTTGTGATTTTAGCACTGGAGTTTTAGGGTATGTTTTTTGTCATTTCCTTGTAAAGTGTAAAGTTACACTTTTGAATTGGAAAGCCTGGTTCAACATCTGGTGTTAGACACGAGCTCTGATTGGCTGCTGCAGTTGTGAATTGTTAGATGAGGTTAAGCAGTCAGATCTCTTAGCGTTACAAGGGAGACACCTCAAATGTCACTTCACTTTATAATCTGTGATCTCACACACATATATAGTTCAAACTACAGAAGGATAGAGTTTCTCAAGAGGGCAAACACATTCTTCTCCGAAGGCCTGTCCGCCCAACCCAACACACTTGGATGAAACATACCTTAACTTAAATAGACAAACATACAAACACATACACAGCTGTCATGCCTTATGCATGCCACCTTTGCAGCGTATGAATGCTGTAAAGTTATTTGCGGGCGACAGGAACTCTTGCAATCGTAAGAGGCCAAGATGAGAGCAATCGAATCTGTTCTCTTGGCAGCGGATCTCATTGTTGGTTAGTGTTCCTTACAGCAGTTGCCTGAACATCGGACACTAATGGATCTAATAGTAAGCTGATACAGCAGGAGGAGGGTTTTGTTCAACATCAGTACCTTTGGATAGAAACTGCCATTTGACACATCGAACTGCTTGAAATCACTGCTAGGGTTTGTGTTCATGTACTTACGCAAAAGTATGTTTCAGGTCTTAGAGAAGGTGATACAGATGTAACCTAAAGTGATAGAAAACCTGCATGTAGTTGTTAAACTCTTAGAGAAAGGCATGACTAATCTAACAGATAAACAGAGACAACACAATAAATTTAGCACTGGATTAGAGACTTGACTGTTAAATCCCTGCCAATAAAAATAAACAAAACCTACTTCCATTTCATAAGACTACAATTGCATAAGTGTATGTGATGTATTTCACATGCATATATGGAAAAACAGAATGTAATGAATTAAGTTTTTTTTTTTTTTTTGGCATTTAACTGTAAATGAAAAAAGACTAAATGTGTCCCTGTGCTGATCAAAGTCTGCTGGGAAATCCTGTAGTCTTGATTCACACATATTTTGGCACCCATTCTGTTTATATCAGTTATTAGTGCCTAATATTTTCTCTCTCTCTCGCTCCTCTAGCTGTCAAGATGGCCATGAAAAACCTTCTGAAAGATGATGATATCAAAAAAGCCCTTGATCAATTCAAAGGTGAGTTTAAAAAATATATATATATATATATATATATATATATATATATATATATATATATAGATATATTGGTAACACTTTATGCCTTTATTATTTGATTTTTTTTTGTCGGTTACGATAGTCACTGTGTCAGATTACGCGATTTTGACTCCTAAAATCTTGTCGTGTCGTGGACAAGAAACATGTCAGACCACACGTTGCTTCCCGACCAGTCATTGCGTGCCGTCTCACACATACGCACACATTCACTCGCACACACTCACTCAAACTCACTCGCTCACACACTCGCACACATACATACACACTCACTCACTCGCGCACACACACACACTCGCTCACTCTTGACGGAACCCGTCGTGGAGGACCGGAAAAAAAATGAAACATGCTAGTCTTTTTATCGTGATGTCGTGAAGCATGTCAGTTGTCGTCCACTATGACACACTATATGAGATGAAACGATCGAATCTTGCGTCCCGATGCCCGTTGACGTTTACGAATCCCCACGACACCCTACGTCAAACGAATCGGGCTAAAATGGTGTAATCTGAACCAGGCATTACAATAAGGCGTCCGTTTAGTTAGCAACAACACCCAACTTACTAATAATTTCCGATCTTCTCCTGAGGATGAAATTAACTTTTTTCTTATTCCAGAAGCCATTTCACTCAGATATACGTCACAATAGGAAAGAAAAGCTAATCGCACTTTTTTTTAAATCCCGACTTTAATGTTAATTTCATAAAATCAGAAGTTGTATGTTAATATAATTTAATGGACCCAAGTTAACATTTAACAGTTGTACTAATGTTAAAAAACATTAATAAATACTGTACCAAATGTATTGCTCATAAATAATCTACTGTACGTTAACTAATAGGACCTTATTGTAAAGTGTCATCATACTTATATAACATTTGTATTATAATAATAAAACAAATGTAATAATTATACTTTCTTAAGAATAATAATGTTCCAGGAATGGCACAGGATATGGAGTCAATTACCACAGAAAATTAAATCAGTGCCTCAGTTTTTTAAAAACAGCAAAAATTCATATTTAAATCGATGCACTCGCAATGGAAGTCTGTGGAGTAAGACATTCTGGGAGGTTTAAAGTAAAAACGTGAAGCTCATAAATGTTTGTTATTTGAGCAGTAAAGTCCAAGTCATCCTTTAAACGGGACTACTTTTTTAGGCGGATAGACATTGGTTATGAGATGTAATTCCTAACGTAAACAGTTAAAATATGTCACAGCCTTTTCATAGTTCCTAGAACTATTGGCGTAAGTACCCGGATTTTGGCGTGTTCACACCGCAGGAACTAGGAATGATTTTAGTTCTAGGAGCTCCTTTTGGAGGAACTAATTTAACTCCTACTTCAGATTAGGGTCTAAACCTGCACTATAGTCACTATCCGTGATGTTAGTATATGCTTATTGGCCGAAACCACACGAAAAACCAGTACCCGCCTTTTTAAAAAAAGCTGTGTTAAACACACAGATTATAGCCTATATATTTACTCCAGAAACTAACTCTACGAACATGGAAAACAGTGATAGACGGGCCTCTTAACCCTTACGCTGAGGAGAAAATCCAACGCAACTTTGAGGGGACCAAGCGAAACATGATTATGTATTTCTGCTCAGCTAGCAACACTGGTCATCAACCACATGGCATATGCTAATAACTTTTCAAACACTGTCTAATTTCTTTGTGTAACAGTTATATCTATTAACGTATTCCACTGTACATATCTGTTTTTGTTTTTTGTGAAGGACGAGTTAAAATTGTTTTCTGTGATCGACTGTTAGACAGATCGTAAACTAATGAACACGGAGAATGCGAGCACTGTGTGCTCAGGCAGGCGTTCTCAGCGCAGTCAAAATAAAGGTCCGCCGCGCAGTCAAAATAAAAGTCACAACAACAAGCGCCACTTACGCCACTTCAGAGTTCCTACTGGCGGTGCGAATGCAATCAGGAAAATGTCCCTAGGGGAACCATTAGTTCTCGGGGAACCATCCTGGTGGCTAGTTCCTAGAACAACTACCCGGTGCGAAAGCGCCTATGGAGATGGACATTCTTTTTTAGATGATGTGAAAAATTATAGTTCAATGCTTTTGCGTTTGTTTGCGTTCCCCGAGAAACCTTGCGTTCGCTCGCAAAACTTTTGAGTTCTTTGTGAACTTTGCAAAAACACAATATTTTTGAAAGAGAATGCAAAAGCGTTGGTATCCTTGTGCATATCATGCGAAAGTTCTAATGTTTATGAACTTAAAAACTTTGCATTGACAGCTTTGTAAGTGTTTTAGCACAATAGCCTCATGCCTACATGTATAATGTTTTCATTTTGTGGCTATAGCCTACTTTCCAAACAGTGTGTACTAAAACAATTATTTGTAAGAAAAGGTGTAGGTGTAAGTCTAGGTGTAGGTCTAGGTGTAGGTGTAAGACTAGGTGTAAGTGTAAGTGTAAGACTAGGTGTAAGACTAGGTGTAGGTGTAAGACTAGGTGTAGGTGTAAGACTAGGTGTAGGTGTAAGACTAGGTGTAGGTGTAAGACTAGGTGTAAGTGTAAGACTAGGTGTAGGTCTAGGTGTAGGTGTAAGACTAGGTGTAGGTGTAAGTGTAAGACTAGGTGTAGGTCTAGGTGTAAGACTAGGTGTAGGTGTAGGTGTAGGTGGAAGACTAGGTGTAGGTGTAAGACTAGGTGTAGGTGTAAGTGTAAGACTAGGTGTAGGTCTAGGTGTAGGTGTAGGTGTAAGACTAGGTGTAGGTGTAAGTGTAAGACTAGGTGTAGGTGTAAGACTAGGTGTAAGTGTAAGACTAGGTGTAGGTCTAGGTGTAGGTGTAAGACTAGGTGTAGGTCTAGGTGTAGGTGTAAGACTAGGTGTAGGTGTAAGACTAGGTGTAGGTGTAAGACTAGGTGTAGGTGTAAGACTAGGTGTAGGTGTAAGTGTAAGACTAGGTGTAGGTCTAGGTGTAGGTGTAAGACTAGGTGTAGGTGTAAGACTAGGTGTAGGTCTAGGTGTAGGTGTAAGACTAGGTGTAGGTGTAAGTGTAAGACTAGGTGTAGGTCTAGGTGTAGGTGTAAGACTAGGTGTAGGTGTAAAGGCCTGTTCACACCGGGACGAATTTCGCGCGCGATATTCGCCGACGTTTAACGCCTCGTGACTAAACAAAGGGCGCCAATGTGAGTGTGCACACCGACACGAAAAACGCCACGCGTAAAAGCGTCAATTTTTTAAAAACGCCTCGGGTTCGTTTTTTTGGTTTGACGCGCCGCGTCAAAAACTATCCGACCAATGAGATTGGCGCTTTTGCTCACGTGTCTGGAGCTTCTGAAGTTACAGTAAAACACAACTTGGGGGCGCTCAAACACAAAACGAGCACACATACGTAACGGCGAAGAAGATATACGCCAAGTAGCGTCTACACTGCCGAGTGCCGAGGAGAAATATGACGAGGAAGATGCAAGGCAAGATGAAAGTAGAGCTCCTGGGCCCGTATGTATAAAGCCACTCAGAGTAAAATTTTAGTCTCAAGTCTGTCAAAATTCTAAGAATTACATAATTTTACTCTTATTCCTAAACTTAAGAATAAGTGTGATTCATAAAAGTTCCTAAGTGCTAAGACTTGGTCTCAGCTCCTAAATTATTTAAGAGAGCTGGAGAGGTCTCCTAACCTAGTTAGGAGTAACAAGATGGCAGCAGAGAGGTTAGGCCATGCACTTTTCAATGAAAATATGATGTATTGTAGTTAAATGAGTTGATCAAACAATAAAAAAAAAAGTTTAATCATCAAGGTATTCTTTTTGTAACTTACCTTTAAAAAGTTTCATAGCAATGAAATCAAAGTAATAATTATATTTTTGGCGACTGCAGAAATGCAGCAGTGCACCTGTGATGATATATTTATTTTAATGGCTGGTGAGCCAAAGACAATTTTCCACCTTGGTGGACAATAAAGATATTACAATTAAAAAGCTCACAGGAGAAAAAAAAAACATAGATTGTCTGCAACATAATCATTTATTAATATTTGATTTTCCTCTCTTGTTTTTTCACCTGTTCATAATTTATTTGTATGACAGCTTAGCTAAAAATTATGTCAATTTGGGATGTTTCATTGTGTTATCACAAATAAACAATTGACTCCAGGCACAACTACACAATACGCTTACAAAATATTGAACACATTTTTAATACTATTTGAATAAAGAGTGAATCTGACAATTTTCCTGCAATACTAAGTTGTGATAATTTTGTACAATGCAAAGCCATTTAAAAAAATAAATTTAAACATTAAAGTTTCAGTGTCTTAATTAAATTATTTTATTAAAATTACATTAAATAATTGGTGTCATGGTGCTGTGACCTCACCCTTGCAGGCTCACTATTGGCTGATTCAGAGGTTGAGGACGGCCATTTTGGGTTAACATCATTGTAGTCCTTAGTTTGCAGCACTTAAGTCCCACTTCAGTCAGCACTTAAGAATCAGTCTTATACTTTACTGAAAGTTGCTTTTAGCTGCTTTATAAAAGTCTCCTACTCTTAGAAAAGTCCTACTCTTTACTAAGTATTTTTTTACACTTAAGTCAAAGCTTAAGACTATTCTTAAGATCATTTCTTAGAAGTTTTATACATACGGGCCCAGGTCTCGTTGGTGTCGGAACATAAAGAACTATGACAAACGCGACAGCGACTACAAAAATAGGACTATTCCTGTTTTACATTAAGCGCCATCTAAAGTCAGGGAATGAATTTGCATGTTCACTCGGCTCATCGTCAGCGAAAATCGCTTGGGTGTGAACACAAAAAACGCGTTGAAAAACGCTGACGAATAACGCGCGCCGATATTCGTCCCGGTGTGTACGGGGCTTAAGACTAGGTGTAGGTGTAAAACTAGGTGTAGGTCTAGGTGTAGGTGTAAGACTAGGTGTAGGTCTAGGTGTAGGTGTAAGACTAGGTGTAGGTCTAGGTGTAGGTGTAAGACTAGGTGTAGGTGTAAGACTAGGTGTAGGTCTTCTAGGTGTAGGTGTAAGACTAGGTGTAGGTGTAAGACTAGGTGTAGGTCTAGGTGTAGGTGTAAGACTAGGTGTAGGTCTAGGTGTAGGTGTAAGACTAGGTGTAGGTCTAGGTGTAGGTGTAAGACTAGGTGTAGGTCTAGGTGTAGGTGTAAGACTAGGTGTAGGTGTAAGACTAGGTGTAGGTCTAGGTGTAGGTGTAAGACTAGGTGTAGGTCTAGGTGTAGGTGTAAGACTAGGTGTAGGTCTAGGTGTAGGTGTAAGACTAGGTGTAGGTCTAGGTGTAGGTGTAAGACTAGGTGTAGGTCTAGGTGTAGGTGTAAGACTAGGTGTAGGTCTAGGTGTAGGTGTAAGACTAGGTGTAGGTGTAAGACTTCCACTGTACGTATGTTTTTTTTTTTTTTTTTTAACTGAAGGACGAGTTGAAATTGTTTTCTGTGGTCGACAGTGCTACATAGCAGTGAATGTCATCAGCTGAAGTGTGTTTTCTTATAAACAGCTGCGGACAGCTTCGACCACAAGAAGTTCTTTGATGTGGTGGGGCTGAAGGCTCTGTCTGCTGACAACGTGAAGTTGGTCTTCCAAGCTCTGGATGTGGACGCCAGCGGCTACATCGAGGAGGAGGAGCTTAAGTGAGAGACACTTTACAGGCGGCTGCGTGTTGTTATGTTTGTGCCAACTCTCTCCAAATGAAGACCCATAAATTAGTTTTATTCTTGTGTCTTTTGGCCCAGTGTTGGTGTCTCATTCTACCTTTATTACTGTCTCCTGTTGGCCTCAAGGACACAGAGCGAGCGATTCCCGTTTGCATTGATTTGCTATATATATCGCCTCTAGCAGCAGCCTTGTCCACCTATTATTTATTATTATCAGTACATGACTGTCCATCATTGGCCAACAGCAGGGAAGTGCAGGGTTGCCAGATTGAAATTAAAGGCCCGTTCACACCAACAACGATAACTATAAAAGATAAGGATAACTTTATTAGCGTCCACACTATGGGACGATATCTTTCTGTTTATTATAAGCACGTGCTGCAGTTATTGCATCTGCCGCTTTAAATGCTTGAGCTCTTTAAAGCAGGATGGATTCTGATTTTTGGCTGTCAATGTTTTTTTATCGTTCATGAGCTGGGAAAATTGTTTCCGAAAGTGATTCCAATTATGTAATTTCTCTGTGCCGGTAACGTAACAGAATCTGCTGTTCTTTTATATTTAGAACTATATTTTTATTAGTATCATCCTTGGTGTGAATGGGCCTTAAAGGGATAGTTCACCAAAAAAGTTAAATTGTCAACATTTACTCACCCTCAGGTTGTTCCAAACCTGTATGAGTTTTTTTCTTCTGCCGAACACAAAAGAAGATATTTTCTAGAATGTCGGTAACCAAACAGTTGATGGACCCCATTGACTTCTAAAGTAGGAAAAAAAATACTATGGAAGTCAATGGGGTCCAATGTAGTTAATTTTAAATTTTTGGGTGAACTGTCCCTTTAAGACAAGAATTCTACAGAGAGCCATCAGGGTAGACCTTTTTTGTTTGTTATACAACTACCAAACTGAATTTTTAAATGTTAATTGATATCTCATTAGTTAAATTAATGAACAATTCATGATACAAATTAAAACAGTTTGGGTGGTTTAAACCGCACTAAAGTAAGAACAATAACTATAAACTTAACTATATTAGTGTCCACAACGCATAACTCTTTCTGTTTATTATAAGCTTTGTCGTCTGCCACTTTAAATGGTCGAGCTCTTTAAAGCAGGATGGATTCTGATTGGCTGTCAATGTTTTTATTGTTCATCAGCTGGAAGAATTAATTCTGAAAGTGATTTTAACGATATTGTAATTGTAATGTGGATTTACCTATTCTCATAGAATTAGAACGATTATTAAAACTTTATAGTTAACTTTATTGTTATAGTCATCATCTTAACTCGCACACTAGAACAGTTTTCAGGAGTATTTCAATTCAGTCACTTAACTGTTGTGTTCAAGCTGTGACCTGGGTTGCCAGATTGAGTTTTATCTCTTCTCTTGGACAGGTTTGTGCTGAAGGGCTTTGCTGCAGATGGCAGAGATCTTACCGATAAGGAGACCAAAGCATTCCTCGCTGCTGCCGACAAGGATGGAGACGGGAAAATTGGCATAGATGGTGAGAGAACAAGCACTCTTAAAGGAACAGTACCTCTAAAAATGATAAAACATTGTCCAACATACTTGAACTTGAACATACGAGAACTTGTCAAGAATGATAAAAAAAGGAGTCTAATCCACTCTCCTGCTATTTTCTTTCAGAATTTGAAGCTTTGGTGCACGAGTAAATCGTCAATATTTGGCAACCCTTTACACCACTACTCTCCTGTGAATACCTACAGCCAATCATATTGTACATCTCTACACATCCTGCCACGAGCTAGGAGCACAACCGCCTCCTTTTACCACATTTATTTATTTACCTTTTCTTTTTTTATATACAATCTCTGTAGATTTTAGTTAGCTACAACATCTCTCATAAAAACCTGGAGATTCCTGTACTGCTTTCACCACCCATCTCTTCTTTTTTGTTCACTTTGGCACGTTTCTTTCTGTTTATGCCTCAAAATGCTCCTTTCTTCTCCTTATCTTGCTCCATCTGTCATCCCTTCCCTGTTTCGCTCCTCTCTTGTGATAGAGCCACTGAACACGATGAATATATGAAGAGAAGGATTAGACGAAATGAGAGAAAAAAATATTGAAGAGAGATAAAATAAAGCCATGCGTTGAGAAAAAAAAACACTGCGGTTTTCATTTATTTCATTGACTAGTGCAGAGTGTATTACATTCCATCTCTTAATCTTGAATTATTTGACAAAAGTAGGGCTGTCAATTCAATTAATTTAACTAAATTGCGGCCATGGAATTACAGATTTTATGTATGGGTCAAGGGTCATTAATTCTGCCAATTTAGTCTTCTTCTTTTTTTTCAATTAATCACATTAAATTAACAGCCCTAAAATGACTAAAATCACTAAATATTAATGCTCACCTTGAGAGGCACAATCCAACGCAAAAGTACACACAATAAATACATGATCTCTTCCTTTGTAATAAATAAATAATTGTGCTGAAAAACACCTAAACACCTGAAATTTGTGCTAAACCTATTAAAAAAAACACTCTAAATGTATTATAATACCTATAAAATACACAACATTCAGACAGATGCACACATGAAAACAAACCTATCAGACTTAACACCATAAAGCATAACACAATCTGAAAGTATTGTGAATTTAAAGGGGCCATATACTTTTTTCCTACGATTTCTTTCTCTCTATGGAGCACTTTTGTTAGCCAAGATGTTTTGTTTGAAAAACAGTAAATTTTTGTTTTTATGACCATTTTACCTTCTTTTACGTGTTTGTAAGTGTTGTTGATGTGTCAATCTAATATAAAACATTAACTTTTGGCCTTTTTGGAGGATGTTTTAATAGTATATATGTAATTCCATTTCTCCTGATAAAACCCCTTTAAATGATTTAGCTGAAAGAAAATGTGAATAATGCACTGAGAGAGTGTCGCTACACAACTGGGTATAGCCATCAAATTAAATACTAAATTTAGTTTAAAAAGTGCCTTTAAATTAATTTAAAAAAAAATCCTTTTCATTCTAACATTAAAGTTGACTCAAATTGTATACTTATCAACAAATCAAGTTAGTACAGACTCTGAACCAGTCAGAGTGCAGTGATGTTTTTTTGTGGCCGGTGTTCTCAGTGAATCCGTGGTCCTGATCTGTCGTTGGTGACTGTGGGCCGGAGCTTCACGGTGGCAAAAGGATTTGATCCTCTAGAATAAAAGAAGAAGAAAAGGTCATTACTTAATTGCCACTAAATTCCGAATTTATCACATTTACACCAAAATTCTCGTGATCGTAATGTAAAAAAAAAAAAAAAAAAGACTACTTAATTGTGACTTAATTCATGGTGATTCTCATAGTTTTTTTTTTTTACATTAATAATACTATTTTATTTTAATCAGTATTTTACTGAAATACTCCCTCTATGTATGAATACACATACATAATATACATTTACATTACTTGTCATGAAACTAATTTCACAAATTTTATACTCTTCTGTTGAAAATGAAAACGTGTGTAATACCTGGGGAAAAGAGGGTGCCCTGGTGGTTGTCCATGAGTAGTTGGCCTCTGCGGACATGGAAAAGGGTTTACAATGGCACTCAAATTGACACAAAATATGACAGGGTGCGTTCACACTTGTAGTTCGGGTTCGTGTGTCTGTGTGTGTGTGAGATGGAGGGATTCCTGACGCTGTTTTGACTCCTTTACGCATTTTATAAGCTCTTCACGAGTTCTCAGCTGGTCAAAATACCATTATATGTATCTACGCACATACAACGAGTGCATTTATCCCAGCAAACAGCATTAATTTGGGTGTTCGGTAAGTTCTGTCGCGAAATATACGTCATAAAAGCCGACCAATCAATGTATCCCAATGCCTTTAGGTTCGGTGATAAAAATGCCAATGTGAATGCTAAGCAGACCAGGACCAAGTGAACCAAGCAAACCAAACTATAAGTGTGAACACATCCTGATACATTTAGTCCTGGTTCGCTTAACGTTCACACTTTCATTTTTAACACGGAGCTTAAAGATAACATACAAAAACAAAAAAGGCATATATTTATGTTTTATGGCGTATATTTTGCGTCTGAACTTACCGAACATCCAAAACATTGCTGTGTTCTGGGATAAAAGCACGCGTTGTATGTGCGTAGATACATATAATGGTATTTTGACCAGCTGAAAACTCGTGAAGAGCTTATAAAATGTGTAAAGGAGTCAAAACAGCGACAGGAATCCCTCCGTCACACACACACACACACACACAGATCTGCTGTGAGGAGATGTGGTTCTGATGCCTGTACCGATCTGTGATGGGTAACATCACGACTATGATGAGAAAAAACAGATACGCTTGAGCATTCTGCCCTTTTTAGGGTCTCATCTTCCTGTGTTTGGTTCGTTCACATGTCTTTGGTCCGTGATGCGTTCATATTTCAGTCGAACCGCACCAGAGTTTGTTAGGAAGCGGAGCGAGGCCCATCTTTTCAGTGTCTCGGTCCTCTTGTTTGATGCACCAGGGTTCAGATGGCAGCGTTCACGTTTATTCAAATGAACCGCACTAACAGAGCACAAGAGTTAGTTTTAGTGGAACCAAACTTGACAAGTGCGAAACACCCTGAGACATCACCAACTTTAACCAAGAAAAAGTCAATTGAGAGTTTCAACAAGAACCTGAATCTGAATGAATCGGCAAAAAAAAAAATAAAAAAAAAAAAAAAAAAAAAATTTAACTAACAGCGTATTCCATGAAAATTCACTTTGGTTTCCGATGCCTATGTTTCTGTTGTATGAACTATTATCTAACATAAAATTAACCTAGCATGCAAAGAAGGTAGTTTTAAACGCATCAAAAATTTCATGTCATGAATTTAAAATTTTGGTGACATTTTGACATTACATAAAAAAAAAAATCTGGAAAACTACAGTGTGGATTTGGCCTAGCAATCACCTCTGAGGTTGATTCGGTCTTTCTCTCGGGGAGAGGAGAGTGCAGAAGGGTTGGAGCAGGAAGCGCGAGTTCATTCATATTTTTGTGCTCTACTTTGCTCTCAAAATGAGACTCCGCCCTCCTGTCAGGGAGAGGGGATATCGGTCGAATGTCAGCCGATCCACGGCGGAGTGGTGCGGCTGGGGGCGGGATCTCATGGTAGGTTTTCTGGCTGGTCTTGGCCTCGTTGTTAGACTCCGCCTTCTTTTCGGGGAGGGGAGAGTTTGAGCGAAGATCCGCCGACGCACGACGCATAGGCACCGATGGGGACGGGCTGTCACTGTAGCTCTGGGTGTCCGAATGCTCTGATTGGCTGGCTGGCTCCAGGAGGTTGTTCATGCTGTGGCTTCGGTGCGACGTACTACTGAAAACGTAAAGACGTTAATCTCAAATTTGAACGATTTATAAAGTAGTTACAATTTAATACTCAAGTTTACCTTGAGCCCAAAGGTACAAAGTCTTCAACGGATGCCACGTAGGCAGCAGGAAACCAACCTTGACTAAAAAGAAACAAGAAAAACAAGACTAAGTAGTTTCCAGCGACTTGACTTAGCCATGGTGCTGACGGTAGACGCTCTCACCGGAGGCTTGAGTCGTGGCGGCCGTACAGCCAACCGTTGCGTGGTTCTGGGATGAGCACGGTCAGCACGTCGCCACGGGAGAACGGCAGCAGGACCGGGTTGGATGAAGCGGGGTGGGACACGATGGCCCTCATGGAGCGCCCGCCTCCCAGACCCAGAGACTCTCCTACAGAGCTGGAGCGGGAACGACTGGGGAGAGGAGACGGGGCTGGGAAGAGGTGTAGACAGAAGAACATTTAAACCACTCATTGAGACCCCAAGGGTTTTAATAACTTGAAAAATATACATTTTATTTGAACATACAGTAATTGGGGGGTCCCTGGGATCTTAAATATTAACACAAGTCAATCTCAACAGACCATTAGGACCAATTTAACTCCACTTTTAAACATACACTCTTGAACTTCCCCACCGCCATTTTGAAGTTTATTTGGACAGTATACTCAATATGTACAACACAATTGGGAGGCTTAATTTAGCCCCAACCCCACACAACGCTAGTGTATGATGTTGGAGTTGTTTTGACTTTTAACCACGTAATACTTGTAGCTACCTTTTTTTTTTTTACCCAGATACAGTATATTTTTCATTTTCAGCCTAAGCATCTCTATATAATGAGGTTTTAAATAATAAATCGGCTCCATTGCGGATTCGAACAAGTTCTATTTAAACACGTTTCAATAGTTTCGCCAGTAGTGGGCACTCGTCCAACGTAAGCAATGACGTGCAAACGACGGAGGGAAGAGCATAAAAAAATTGGGACTTAAATGCAGCTACAGTTCTAACATGAGCAGCACTGAGTCTCCAGACCTCTAGAGGGCACTCTGCCCAGCGGCTCACGGCCCATTTCTCGGTCTCCAGTCTGCAGCAGAGAGCCCAGAGAACTCTTCAACTGCAAGAAACATCAAGACAGACATCGATCTTAGTGTCGCCAGATTTCTAAACAACACTCAACAAGCGCAAAATAAGAGTAAAAATTGTTTTTGCAGAGTAAATGGAAAGTAATTTATGGGACCCTTCGTGGACCCTTTCCCCATTTCTGGGGTTCTCAGAAGTGGAAGTTGTCATCGATGGGTAAACGTCTATAGAGCTGGTAAGTCCCGCCCCTTCCGCTTACCCCGCTGGACCTCTAGGTTGAAAAATCGTCAATGCAAGTGAATGAGAGAAAATAATTATTTTCTAATCCCGTTTGAATTTTGCAATGAATGTGAACATATGTTGTCTGTGAATTTTTTATATAATTTTTCGTGTAAAGAATGCTACAATTTACCGGGCAGAATTTTCATACGGTTTGACTTTGTGTGAGAGCACTTTGTGGACTACAACTCTTTGCTGCTTTCGACGCGTTTGATATACGTCACCACCACTAGCACACGGATCCCGCTAAACATGCCTTTGTTTGAATGGTGACATTTGGGTACAAAACACACAGGCATCTCGATCTAATTCCTTAGATTATCGCACCGTGATTTGTGGAGGGAAAATGTGTTATGCGGTGACGTCACATATGCGACGTGAAGTCTTTCTCGTTATGTCTATTCCACAACTGCTAGCCAAAGAATCATACAATATACTGTCCAACTCGTTACATGAGAAATTATATATATATAAAAAAAAAAATCACAGACAACATATGTTCACATTCATGGCACAATTCAAACGGGATCAGAAAATAATTATTTTCTCTCATTCACTTGCATTGACGCTTTTTCAACCTAGAGGTCCACTTGGAGTTTTACGGATGGGCGGGACTTACCAGCTCTATAGTGATGAACAGAAACTACAACAAATATAATTTTTGTGTTCCCATTTGCTCCAATAGCAAAAAAAAAAAAAAAAATCCACATTAGGGTTTCTTTACATTCCAAAAGAAGAAAAAAATTGTATTATAACAGAAAAGTGATAAATATGAACATTATTTAACAAAAAAATAAATATAAAACTACTTTAAAAAAACTGGAAATGCATCATCACAGTCTGTGTAAATGGTCCATTAGCAATGGAAACAACATACATTATACGATACTTTATTAAATATTGATAGTATATTAAAAAAAAATCCCCAAAAGGTGACACATTCTTCTGATTATTTTTTTGCGAGTTGACATTTTACAGAAAATCAACATAAAATTGACCATTTACTTACAAGTTCAATCCATCGATGTACATTAGGTAACACTTTATTTTAGTGTCCTTGTTACATTAGTTACATGTACTTACTATAGCAAAAACAGTTAATTATGCATAATTACATGCAACTAAAACCAAATCCTAATCCTACCCTAACCCTATAGTAAGTACATGTAGTTCATTAATATTACTCTACTTAAATATATAATTGCACTCTAACAATGACACCTAAAAATAAAGTGTAACCCATTATTCCAAGTAAACACAATAGGCCTATTTATCTTTATAATCTTTTAGTAGAATGAAAAAAAAAACCTCTATTTGTGTGCTGCAAACAGCATTTCATTACTTTTAAGTAATGCAAAACACAATTTCATGGCTTGTAAATTCACCCACAATGAACAGATGTGATAAAAAAGGTAATTTTGGACTCTGTACGCCACACAAAGCTACCCATCTGTTTCATTATGTGATTGTGGAAATGTCTGCGCTCGGCAGTTAGCCGAAAAGTGGGGGAATATGGAGTATTTACTCCTCATTCCCAGCATTCCAGTGTCACCTGAGCTTCTTGATCTGATGGAGTGGGCGTTCGAGGTCTGGAGCTTCTGCTCTCACTGACTCTTTCTTTCCATCCATCTGCTCTCTGCTGGAGAGAGACTCCCGTCTGTCAACACATGGAGAAATGGTTGTGCAGTCAGTGGGCTGATAAGCTTTGGAAGGAACTGGAAAGAGGATCTGTATGACTGAGTGGACACTGCTAATGAACTCCAGAGGAAAGCAGCTGTACCTTGTTGATAAGGTATAGTAGTGACTGTGTAAGTCCGCAATGCTTTTCAGCCAGAAAACGATACCTCCTTTCCTCCTCTTTGAGGATTTCATGCTGGCTCTGCCTCAGGTACTGCATGTACTCGCTGCCCTCCTGCAAACACACAAACACAAGAACTGAGACACAGAATAGCTCCAAAACCTACCCTTCACTCGCATTGCGAAAAAGTTAAGCTCGACTTTGTCATATTGCCAAAGGTAGTTTTCGCTCATGTTGCCTAAATTCGTCATTTGTTATTGAAAATCAATGACTCCCGGTTGATTTTGCTACAAAACAGTGTGAACAACCCTTAAGACAACATCCAAACACAAAGCAGACTTCGTTCATTGCTAACTCTTTACCTTACAAACACTACACAAATAGGAAGTACACAAGATTCAACTGAGCAATAGAGTTTGACATTAGAATGTTGCTAACCTAAAACCTCCCTATTGGACTCAACTGAGATTGTTCGTTAGAGCATTGAGTGGTCAGCTTAGCAATATGCTAATTTCAGACTCCTCTGGACTCAACTGAGATTGTTCGTTAAAGCATTGAGTGGTCAGCTTAGAAATATGCTAATGTCAGACTCCTCTGGACTCAACTGAGATTGTTCGTTAGAGAATTGAGTGGTCAGCTTAGCGAAATGCTAATGTCAGACTCCTCTGGACTCAACTGAGATTGTTCGTTAGAGCATTGAGTGGTCAGCTTAGCAATATGCTAATGTCAGACTCTTCTGGACTCAACTGAGATTGTTCGTTAGAGCATTGAGTGGTCAGCTTAGCAATATGCTAATGTCAGACTCCTCTGGACTCAACTGAGATTGTTCGTTAGAGCATTGAGTGGTCAGCTTAGCAATATGCTAATGTCAGACTCCTCTGGACTCAACTGAGATTGTTCGTTAGAGCATTGAGTGGTCAGCTTAGCAATATGCTAATGTCAGACTCTTCTGGACTCAACTGAGATTGTTCGTTAGAGCATTGAGTGGTCAGCTTAGCAATATGCTAATGTCAGACTCCTCTGGACTCAACTGAGATTGTTCGTTAGAGCATTGAGTGGTCAGCTTAGCAATATGCTAATGTCAGACTCCTCTGGACTCAACTGAGATTGTTCGTTAGAGCATTGAGTGGTCAGCTTAGCAATATGCTAATGTCAGACTCTTCTGGACTCAACTGAGATTGTTCGTTAGAGCATTGAGTGGTCAGCTTAGCAATATGCTAATGTCAGACTCCTCTGGACTCAACTGAGATTGTTCATTAGAGCATTGAGTGGTCAGCTTAGCAATATGCTAATTTCAGACTCCTCTGGACTCAACTGAGATTGTTCGTTAAAGCATTGAGTGGTCAGCTTAGAAATATGCTAATGTCAGACTCTTCTGGACTCAACTGAGATTGTTCGTTAGAGAATTGAGTGGTCAGCTTAGCGAAATGCTAATGTCAGACTCCTCTGGACTCAACTGAGATTGTTCGTTAGAGCATTGAGTGGTCAGCTTAGCAATATGCTAATGTCAGACTCTTCTGGACTCCACTGAGATTGTTCGTTAGAGCATTGAGTGGTCAGCTTAGCAATATGCTAATGTCAGACTCCTCTGGACTCAACTGAGATTGTTCGTTAAAGCATTGAGTGGTCAGCTTAGCGAAATGCTAATGTCAGACTCTTCTGGACTCAACTGAGATTGTTTGTTAGAGCATTGAGTGGTCAGCTTAGCAATATGCTAATGTCAGACTCTTCTGGACTCAACTGAGATTGTTCGTTAAAGCATTGAGTGGTCAGCTTAGCGAAATGCTAATGTCAGACTCTTCTGGACTCAACTGAGATTGTTCGTTAAAGCATTGAGTGGTCAGCTTAGCAATATGCTAATGTCAGACTCTTCTGGACTCAACTGAGATTGTTCGTTAGAGCATTGAGTGGTCAGCTTAGCAATATGCTAATGTCGGACTCTTCTGGACTCAACTGAGATTGTTCGTTAGAGCATTGAGTGGTCAGCTTAGCAATATGCTAATGTCAGACTCTTCTGGACTCAACTGAGATTGTTCGTTAGAGCATTGAGTGGTCAGCTTAGCAATATGCTAATGTCAGACTCCTCTGGACTCAACTGAGATTGTTCGTTAGAGCATTGAGTGGTCAGCTTAGCAATATGCTAATGTCGGACTCTTCTGGACTCAACTGAAATTGTTCGTTAGAGCATTGAGTGGTCAGCTTAGCGATATGCTAATGTCAGACTCCTTTGGACTCAACTGAGATTGTTCGTTAGAGCATTGAGTGGTCAGCTTAGCAATATGCTAATGTCAGACTCTTCTGGACTCAACTGAGATTTAGAGTTTGTTAGAGTACTGAGATTTTAGCTTAGCAACATGTTAACTGCACACTATTGGAATCAGTTGAGATTGTTAAGAGTTTGTTAGAACATTAAGTTGTTAGCTTAGCAACAAGCTAAACCAAAAATTCAAAAACCAAATTAACATCAACCCACAAATGAACACAAACTTGAGGTCTTACCAGTGAGTCTCTGAACGCACCCCGTCTCAGCTGTCGCTCCAGAGCTGCAGCCTGATTCCTCACCTCCAATTCATACACTCTACGACTGCCCTACACACACACACACACAACACATCAGCTCAAATATACACACACACACACATACATCTCAATAGATGGTTCAGACTCACTTCAATGTATTCTTCATCCAGTTTCACGTTCTTGTCCATGGCCTGCAGAACCTCCACATGGAACCAGCGGAACTGGACCAGCAAACAGACAGTAAAGTTGGAGACGGCTGCTGAATCCAATCAGACAGAAAGACTTGAATTTTGAACTTACCACTCCCTCGACTTCAGCCGTCAGCTTCCGCTGGGTCTCTGATATCTGAATCAACACGTCACCTGAGAAACAAACAAATACATTCATTCAATAATTCATTAAGAATACATATTTAATAAGTGCAGAAATGGAAGAGTAGGTTTTTGTGAACGATGTTAATATCATACAGTATCATTGATTGGAGACTGTTGTGTTTGTTCTGCTGCAAAATACAAAAGAAGATATTTTGAAGAATGTTTTTTAACTGTTTTTGCCCATAAAATGAAAGTCAATGGGGTCCAAAAATGTTGTTTTGGACCCCATTGACTTTCAATGTATGGACAAAAAATAAAAACACTAAAATATTTCTCAAAATATCCTCTTTTGTGTTCCTCAGAATAAAAAATAATAATGATATGAGGGTGAGTAAAGGATTTTAATGACTTTATTAAAGAAATATATTAAATATTACAGTGATTCAATTGAACTGGTTATAATTCTTGTAAGTTAATTAATGAATCATTCTTTTATTATGATTTTTGGTTAATTATAATTATGATTTATTATTTATTACAAATATGTATAATTATACCTAATTATATTAGTTCATTTTAAGTCCCAACATTTATCATGTAGCTTGTCCCAAAAAAAACATGATACTTTTTAGTCTTTTTTTTTATTAACGTGCATCGTAATGATGAGTGTAACGTGCTGAGGTGAATCAATGAATTTGAAGGGGTGAAAGAATGAGACCATGCATCAATAATGTATGTCTCAATGCTCACATAGACACCTGATCTCGAACACACACACACAATCGCACACACACCTGTCTTTTCCTGTCACATGCAGGTTGATACGCCTGTAGTAATTTTGAAAGATATTTACTCTTTATTTATTTTATTCATGCTGTTCCATCTTTAAGCCCCTACATTTTGTGTTCTGATGCTCATCATGCCATGGCGCTCTGCGTGTACGACGAATGAAAACTCATTACATGGGCAGTGAGCCGAGGGTTTCGCTGAGCCAAATCTTGTGTTTTATGACAGAGGAGAGGAAGCATCTGCCACTGGACACCATTTGCTGAAACATCTATTGTCTGAAGGACAAACAAGCTCTGATACAGCCAGAAAGTACAGATAGAAACTCTATGGACATCTTGCTGCACAATCTGCCCAACTGGCATTGATTTAGAGACACAAAAACACACTCATCTTGAGTCTTACCAAGTGATCTGGATGACAATGTGTTGAGAGCTTGCTCGCCCATCTTAGCAAGAGCGCTGAAGTAGGCCTCACTTGTCAGAGTCAAAGCTTCGATGTACACACATACACAAAAGTATAGTAAATTTAGACCGTTTTTTCAGCATTCCCTGATGATAATAACAGCTAAAACCAGCCTGTGGTGGTTTGCTGGTTTTCCAGCCTGGTCAAGTTGGTTTTTGGCTGGTCTTTAGTCTACACAACTAATAAAGTGTCCTCTAAAACCATAAAAACAGACCAGACAAACGAAGTAGCCTAACCAGACTGGGAGACTAGCTAACCACTATACCGTAGGCTGGTTTAAACAGGGTTTTAAGCAGGGTTGCCATTTTATTATGTCTTTCAACGTATTTTAAAACACAACATTTAACAAAACAAAAAACAAAAACCAAAGCAACCCAAAAGAAAACAAAAACCCCCAAAAGAAAACAAAACAACCCAAAAGAAAACAAAAAACCCCAAAAGAAAACAGAAAGAACCCATAACAAAACACAAATCAAAACATCAATACCTTCAATAAAAAGTTCAATACACTTTCAGGAGTCTATTTGAAAACACACACAATATGCTCACCTTGAAAAGCGTTGATGTAGCTGTTCCCTAAAGTAACCAGCTTTTGCAAGCCGGGATTAAACTGATCCATGAGGTTCTGAATAACCCAAACAACACCATCATACTGTCAATATCCGTGCTGGGGTATTATTAAATATAAGTAAGTGATGATGTACAGTTAATTAATATCTCTAAATAACAGCATCAATGATCAGCTGTCTGTACAGTTTCCTGCTCAATACACGGCTAATAAATAAGTTACATAAAATATTGAGGTTTAATTAAAAATGATTTCATAATGTGATAAAAGACTGAAGAGTGATTCGAGAGACACGACACTAGCTCACATACGTTTAAAATCGGTGTCCTGGGAAAATTATTGATTATACATTTTAGTGCTTTTCATTTACAAAATATCGACCACAGAACGTCACGACTGACCAATCACAATCGAGTATTTCAGAGAGCCGTGTAATAATGTTAATAATTAATGAGCATTCTCATTTGATCCCAACTTAAATGAGAGAAACAGAAGACTCACATTATAAACACTCAAAGTTGATCTATGCAGAAGGTCACTGTTCGCACCAGACATCATGTTTCTGTTGGAAAATACACACGTAACGCGACGCAAAGCAACAATGAACATGTACAATCAACTCCTGAGGAGAATAGCGAAAACATTGACAGAGAAACACTGAAGAGACTGCTTTACGTACCTGTGACGGTGAAAGTTTTCACGCTGTAGTTATTCTGTGTGACGACACTGTCCTTATGTCTGTAATGGCTTTTTTCAGGTCCTCGTTAATGCCTATTATAGGGCGAGAGAGGGCGAGTAAGAGAGAGAGGAGTCCACATCTGATACGGCCTGAAGTTTTGAATTATTTACCTGTCCCATGACAGAACATGGAGATGGCCGGGCAGGAGATACACACTTTAACTGAGAGAACAGCTGTAGAAGTGACACTTCATCTGCTTGAAGTGCCCTAAAGAGACACTCCACTACAGCCAGAAGCAGGTAAAACAGCTACTCAACATATGCTCAATAATTATTGCTGGTTTCCTGAAACTATGTGACTAAAAGCTTTTACATGCTCATATTGAATAAAATGACATGCTACTTGTCTTGTTTTTTTGGGATATATAAGAATAATTTTAAATAATACAAAAAAAAAATAAGACTCTTACAGTTTTACAGGATAGTTTTTAGTATATCAAATAATAATACATTAAATTAACAGTCATTTTTAGCTGATTTCATGATCATGTAAAGCCTGTTTATAACACTATATAGGCTTATTACTTTTATATTAGGTTACATTAGTACTTTCATTTACTATTAGTCAAATCACATGTTATACAAAAGGTTATTTCACAAATCACACGCCAGAACTAATCCCAGTTTAAATAATTGTCTGTGCTTTTTTATTTCAAGGTTTTTATCACGTCAGTAAAGGGTTTCAAATCAGTGCCACAGCAGCAGGTTATAATTATAAAGTGAATTATTGCTTACTTTAGTCTCTGAACAACAGAGTGTCAAGTATAAGCCATGACCACATCATGATAAGACAAACGCATTGTAAATACAAGTTATCAATAAACCAAACAAAAACACAACATGGCTAATGCAGGAGGTATTGAAGTTATTCTTGATACATATTTGTTGTTAGTAAACATCAGTATATTCTACAACATCTTTGATCATAGTTTCTATACTTCACAGACTGAGATATTACCAGTTGCAGCTTTATAATGTTCAAGTATGCAAGGCTACACATGACAGATTGCAAAAAAAGGCTTTTCCTTAAAACTGCAAATGAAACAAGACAGAAAACACACAGAAACTCTATGAAGATCAGTTCCAAATGAATGGATAAATGCATAATAAATGGGAAATGCAAGGAAATGCAGTGGTTACAGTTTGACCCTTCAAGTGCAAGACATTTCCAGGGAAACAAACAAAAAAAAAGTGATCAGTTTCACTATAAATGACATGATAAAAATGCACACAAAGGATGTATAGAATGATAAATAATAAGTAAAATTATAGCTTTAAAAGAAGCAACTACTCACTTCCTGTATAGGTCATTTTGATCAATGCAAATTTCACACGTAGATTTAGCATACATAAAATATAATGCAATATAAAAATATCTCCATAGTTCAAATATTGGATTGAAGTGGTAACCTACCTTCATGTATTTTGTTATATTAACCTTGGTCCAATTTGGTATTTAAGACACATACAAAATATATGGGGAAAGTATGTTATAATTATATATTTTTATAAATATTCTTCCTTTAAGTTAATTGAACATGTCCCAACAACATACACACGCTAATGTAAGCAGAATCCTTCTCTGTATAGGATGAATGAGTTGTGCATATTAAGTGTCAGAGCTGCAGGAGCTGCTGGCAGAGTGTTCGTATGACCTCTCTGTGCTCATACAGGTACATCTGAGTTTCCCACAGCATGTCAACCAACACAGCGTCACTGACCTCGTCCAGCATCACCTCCTGAGACAGCTGAGGACTCAGCCTGAGGCACACACCAGGGGGACGACACAAGCAGGTTAGCAGATGACAGATGGAGAGAAGAAATTGAATGAAAGGTACAAATGAAAAGAAAACTAAATGATGATGGAAGAAATTAAGAGAAATTAAACACATATAGGACAGAAAGAACATACAGGAAGGAAGGAAGGAAGGAAGGAAAGGTAGGAAGGAAGGAAGGGTGGAAGGAAGGAAGGAAGGAAGGAAGGGTACGAAGGAAGGAAGGGTAGGTAGGAAGGAAGGAAGGAAGGAAGGAAGGAAGGAAGGAAGGAAGGAAGGAAGGAAGGAAGGAAGGAAGGAAGGAAGGAAGGAAGGAAGGAAGGAAGGAAGGAAAGAAAGATAGGGATGGGAGGGAACAAATGATAGGAAACAAGAAATTAAGTGGAATCAAAAATGGGTAAATTAATAAAATAAAAGAAAGAAAGAAAGAAAGAAAGAAAGAAAGAAAGAAAGAAAGAAAGAAAGAAAGAAAGAAAGAAAGAAAGAAAGAAAGAAAGAAAGAAAGAAAGAAAGAAAGAAAAATTCAAGTAGGGGAGGAAGGAAAAGCAAAGAAAAAAATACAATTCGAGAAAAGGGAAAAATGAAAAATAAAATGAAAGGAAGGAAATAAAATCATAAAAGGGAAAAATGAATTGAAGGAAGGAAAAATTAAAAAGATATTAAGAAGGAAATTCAATGATAAAAGATGGGAACATGTAGGTAAATTAAAGGAGGAAAGAAATTAAATTAAATGAGAAGGAAGGAATGAATGAAGAATAGATGAATGGAAAGAAGAAAGACAGAGAGGAAGGAAATAAAAAGGTATTAGAAGGAAATTAAATTAATAAAGAAGATAAATAAATGAAAAAATTAAGATAAATTCAAGGAGGGAAGGAAGGAAAAAAAATGAGAGAAAAGGAAAAAAAATGAGAGAAGAAAGAACGAACAATTAAATGTTTTGAAGGGGGAAAATGGAAGGAAGGAAGGATTAAAAAATGATTAAGAAGGAAATTAAATGAAAAAGGGGGAAAATGTAGGTAAATAAAAGGTGGAAAGGAATTAAATTAAATGAGAAGGAAGGAATGAAGGAGAGATGAATGGAAAGAAGACAGGCAGGGAGGAAGGAAATAAAAAGGTATTAGAAGGAAATTAAATGATAAATGAAGAGAAATTAAAGGAGGGAAGGACGCTGGGAAAAATAAAGAAGGACATAAAATTAGAGTAAATGAAAAATGAAATGAAAGAAAGTAAGGAAAGAAGGAACAATTCAAAGTACTTAAGGGGGGAAATGAAAGGAAGGAAATACAATTACATAAGAAGATTTAGATATTATAGAAGAAGAAAAAACAAAAGGAGGGAGGGTAAGACTTAATTGAATGGAAGAAAGAAAGGAAGAAAATTCATTACATGAAAGATTGAAGGAAATTAAAGAAAGAAGGAAGAAATTAAGTGAAGAAGCGGATGGAAGAAAGGAAACAAAACGAAATTCAAGTGGTGGGACAGTGGAGATGAGTCACACAAAGAAAGAAATGATAGGACACAACAATGTAGAAAAGAAGAGAGTGAAAGCAGAGGCAGAAGGAAAAGAACAGAAAGAGTGCAGAGATGAGTGCGAGTCAGCTGACCTGTGATAGTTTATGTCGGCCATCTCACACCACGCTCGAGCTCGGTCCACTGCACAGCCGTCTGAGTCCGTACACTGACATACAAACACAGACATAACACCACCAATCATTCCAACATCACAACAAGCGTCTACAACGAAGATGTGTGTGTAACTCACGCAGTCCACGAGCATCTTGCCCAGTTCTCTGGCGCCAACGAAGGTCTTGGCCAGTTCCAGCGGGTTTGAAGGCCTAAACACGTCCACAGAGTTGACCGCCACCTGAGGAGGTTTACCCGTCCCCAACGACAGGACCACCCCTAACCTGCTCACGTCTGGCTCGCGCCCCTGACAGAGACACACTCTCTTACAACATTTCACCAATGTCCAATGGATCTTAGTCGGGAAGTACGGTATACTCCTTCTACCATAAGGTGTTGGTATTACAAACAAATATATTGCAGTCAATTACATTTTTAGCCAAAAGTGAGTCTTGAACAGGTCATTCTTAAAGGGATAGTTTACACAAAAATGAAAATTAGCCTATGATTTACTCACCCTCAAGCCATCCTAGGTGTACATGACTTTCTTCTTTCAGCCAAACACAATCGAAACTAGACTCGCCAGTGATCATAGTTTATAAAGGTTTAAATATGGATATTTTTCTTACAAAAACCCATTGCTTCAGAAGGCCTTCATTAAAGGTGAACTAAGTAACTTTTTTACCTTAACCGAACAGCTTTGGAGTCATTGTAATGTTTATATTACTGATTTCGTGTTGAATGGTGGTCGTCTCGCACCCCCCTGGTGCCTGTGAGCCGCAAAACCACCCTTGCAACTTTGGGCCTTTGCACCTTTGCAAGTATCGTGTGATATCAGGTCTCGCGAGGTAACAAATTGCTTTACGGCAAAAAACAGATCTGATAAAATTCTGATAAAATGAGCATCAAACAGAAATAACCCGGCGCCGTATACATGTGGTGTTGGGCGCGCGCAGCTCTTAAAGGGGCCATGCCTTATTTCCACTTGTTACAGCGTCCATCCTACTGAACAGGTACCGGTGTACAGGGGGAGGGGATCCGGCCGTGAGTGCGAGCCATCTCTGCGTGAGTGCTATTCACGACAGTACAAGTACTCCACAGCGACTCTAGGGGTCGCTGTTTGACAAAAACGGAATTCCTACTTAGTGCTGCTTTAACCCACTGGATTACTTTTATGATGGGTGGATGCACTTTTTTGGAGCTTCACAAGCACTATTCAATGCCATTACAAAGCTGGAAAGAGCTGGGATTTTATTTTATATAACTTCGATTGTGTTGGGGTGAAAAAAGAGAGTCATATAGACCTAGGATGGTTTGAGGGTGAGAAAATTATAGGATCATTTTCAGTTTTTGGATGAACTATTCCTTTAAGGCTATATTTGTGTATCAGACCTGTGCCTTCAGGGCTTTGCTGTATTGGTGTATTTCTGTCATGGCATCTAGCGTTGGGTTGTTGGCCAGCAGCCCTCCATCCAGAAAACGCCCCATTGGCCGAAAATAAGTGGGAGCTGCTCCACTGGAGCGGGCGGCGCGCCAAACTAATTGCTCTGAGAGAAAGAGAACGTGAATGAGCGAGAGAGCGTAAAAGAGAACCAAGCGTGCAAAAGATGATTAGCCTCCCACAAACAAACTAATGACCGATTACTTCCAACGTGAGGTAGGATTGCGCAATAAAAACACCAAAAACCTTACATACGGTGACCTTTCCATTCCACACGCACTCTTTCTCACACACACCTTCATCCGTCACCTTCCTACGCTTTCTAGGAGGTCGAGTATATCCTACAACCAAAAGATCTTCGTCCTCCCACCCTGAAACAGCGACAGTGAAGCTTCACGCATCATTTGATATTGAGGATAACTGAGAAACCCAGAGCCCGTCAACATGCTCATAAAGAGCACGAGGGGAACATGAGTGTTTTCCACCGGCACAAAGATAATTAGCGTAACGATAGCCCGAAAATGAAAGTACAGAAGAGATTTACCCTGTGGCACAGTGAGGGGTTGAAACGTGGCAGTAGATGTGTACGGAGGGTCTCTTTGAAGGACCGGTGGGTCGTAATTACGAAACAGATGCAGTTCTCCAGGGTGTCTGTCTGCAAGAACGCTAGTCACCATTACTCTGAGAGAAACAGACAGGAGATGGATTAAAAACAAGCATTTTCTGACAAATATGTGAGCTCATTTTGTGTTCAGGGGTGTTGCAAAGCGTTAATAGGCAGTTGGTGGGGTGTTCCGAGGTATCGCTAATGCACTGCTTAGGAGTTCTGGATGTTTGCCAGTGTATTAAAAAGGATTATTCAGGTGTTGCTACATAGTTGCTGGGGTGTTCAGAGTTGTGAAGAAGTTTTGGATGGTTGCTAGAACACTACAAGCGGGTACTTGGTTGTTGCTAGGCAGTTGTTGGGATGTTCAGAGTCATCAATAAGACATTTCTAAGGAGTTGTGGGTGGTTGCTACAGTAGGGCATTGCCAGGGTGGCATTGCTTGGGTGTTCGGGTGGTTGATATGGCATTGTTTGGGTGCTCTGGTGGTTGATATTGCATTGCTTGGGTGTTCTGGTGGCTGATATGGCATTGCTTGGGTGTTCTGGTGGCTGATATGGCATTGCTTGGGTGTTCTGGTGGCTGATATGGCATTGCTTGGGTGTTCTGGTGGCTGATAGGGCATTGCTTGGGTGTTCGGGTGGCTGATAGGGCATTGCTTGGGTGTTCTGGTGGCTGATATGGCATTGCTTGGGTGTTCTGTTGGTTGATATGGCATTGCTTGGGTGTTCTGGTGGCTGATATGGCATTGCTTGGGTGTTCGGGTGGTTGATATGGCATTGCTTGGGTGTTCTGGTGGTTGATAGGGCATTGCTTGGGTGTTCTGGTGGCTGATAGGGCATTGCTTGGGTGTTCGGGTGGTTGATAAGGCATTGCTTGGGTGTTCGGGTGGTTGATAGGGCATTGCTTGGGTGTTCTGGTGGCTGATAGGGCATTGCTTGGGTGTTCTGGTGGTTGATAGGGCATTGCTTGGGTGTTCGGGTGGTTGATAGGGCATTGCTTGGGTGTTCTGGTGGTTGATAGGGCATTGCTTGGGTGTTCTGGTGGCTGATAGGGCATTGCTTGGGTGTTCTGGTGGCTGATAGGGCATTGCTTGGGTGTTCTGGTGGCTGATAGGGCATTGCTTGGGTGTTCGGGTGGTTGATAAGGCATTGCTTGGGTGTTCGGGTGGTTGATAGGGCATTGCTTGGGTGTTCTGGTGGCTGATAGGGCATTGCTTGGGTGTTCGGGTGGTTGATAGGGCATTGCTTGGGTGTTCGGGTGGTTGATAGGGCATTGCTTGGGTGTTCTGGTGGTTGATAGGGCATTGCTTGGGTGTTCGGGTGGTTGATAGGGCATTGCTTGGGTGTTCTGGTGGTTGATAGGGCATTGCTTGGGTGTTCTGGTGGCTGATAGGGCATTGCTTGGGTGTTCTGGTGGTTGATAAGGCATTGCTTGGGTGTTCTGGTGGCTGATAGGGCATTGCTTGGGTGTTCTGGTGGCTGATAGGGCATTGCTTGGGTGTTCTGGTGGCTGATAGGGCATTGCTTGGGTGTTCTGGTGGTTGATAAGGCATTGCTTGGGTGTTCTGGTGGCTGATAGGGCATTGCTTGGGTGTTCGGGTGGCTGATAGGGCATTGCTTGGGTGTTCGGGTGGATGATAGGGCATTGTTTGGGTGTTCGGGTGGTTGATAGGGCATTGCTTGGGTGTTCTGGTGGCTGATAGGGCATTGCTTGGGTGTTCGGGTGGCTGATAGGGCATTGCTTGGGTGTTCTGGTGGCTGATAGGGGTGGCTGATAGGGCATTGCTTGGGTGTTCTGGTGGCTGATAGGGCATTGCTTGGGTCTTCGGGTGGTTGATATGGCATTGCTTGGGTGTTCTGGTGGCTGATAGGGCATTGCTTGGGTGTTCGGGTGGCTGATAGGGCATTGCTTGGGTGTTCGGGTGGTTGATAGGGCATTGCTTGGGTGTTCTGGTGGTTGATAAGGCATTGCTTGGGTGTTCGGGTGGTTGATAGGGCATTGCTTGGGTGTTCTGGTGGTTGATAGGGCATTGCTTGGGTGTTCGGGTGGCTGATAGGGCATTGCTTGGGTGTTCTGGTGGCTGATAGGGCATTGCTTGGGTGTTCGGGTGGTTGATAGGGCATTGCTTGGGTGTTCGGGTGGTTGATAGGGCATTGCTTGGGTGTTCTGGTGGTTGATAAGGCATTGCTTGGGTGTTCGGGTGGTTGATAGGGCATTGCTTGGGTGTTCTGGTGGTTGATAGGGCATTGCTTGGGTGTTCGGGTGGTTGATATGGCATTGCTTGGGTGTTCGGGTGGCTGATATGGCATTGCTAGGCAGTAGAGAGGATGTTCTGGGTCTTTGCTAGACAACAGCTTACAATTTCTGAATAGTTGCTATGGTGTTCTGGTGGGGAAGTTGTTGTTTGGTTTAATTAAAATCCCAAACCTTAAGTATAAGTACCTGGGGTGTGTGACGTCCGTCATCTTGGTATTTTCTCCAAACTCGTTCTTCAGAAATTCCTCCAGAGGGCCAGACTCATACGGTCGAGAACCTTTAAACACCTGTTCCTTCATCCTGAAGTACAGACAGCGCAGATACTCCATCGATTTACCTGCTCAAGTACACAATAAACAAAATTATGCTAATGCATGTACCCGCTTACAGTAACCAAGAACATATTTTTACAATTATAAAATGGATCATTCTGTTCCTAGATGCTGATAGGTCAATACAGTTTTATAAATCTACTTAAATATTATATACTAAATCAAATACCGTGTACAATAGCTAGAGCCAGTATGCCACCGGTGCTAGTCCCAGACACCCAGTCAAAGAGTTCCCTGATGGGACGTCCTGCCTCTTTCTCGAGAGAGATTAACATCTGGATCAGAACCAGGCCTTTAATTCCTCCACCATCAAGACACAACAATCTGTCCATTCTTGAGAAAAATAAAAGCAAATGAGTAATTAACTTATTTGTAGGCTTGTTTTTCTATCAATCTTAATTTAAATAACATACTTCTTGCTTCCTGGTTTGAGCCCATCAACCTCTACAAATCCACGAGTCATGGCCGTGACAGCTGTCGCCACATACATGATGTCATCAAACCCTGTGGACCAATTATAAGCAAGATGTGAGAGCAGTGAACCAAATTATAGGCAGGTTGACTATCATAGATATGCAATACCTAAATGCCACTGTTAATAAGTGTGATATGCAAGCATGTCTGTCCCTTTGGAAAGGTCAAGTTCTACCAGCAAACAGATTAAAGTGATGATGCAACAAGATCATGCTTCGCTGGCATTCTCAACTGTAAAAGACTAGGCTCTTTTGTCTCACAGGTTTGTACAGTAGGCTGCACAATTTTGTGGCATTTATGTTGGTGTAATTATATTAGGTTGTTAAGTGATCGCTCGAGTTCAATCCAAAATGTTGACCTTTCCAAGATGACGGCTGCTGCAGACAAATCCGGATTAATCAAATGGTGCGTTTAGATATTCAAGATATTCTAGTTTATATGACATAAGAAAGCTTCAAATAAACGTATTAGGTTTAGAAATACAGGCAGCACAGAAGTGAACAAAGACAACTTTAGGGGGATATCTGAAAGAGTGCAGAAAAATAAGAGGACATAAAGCAAAAAAGTTAATTAATATTTAAATATAATTAAGAATTGTCATATTTAAAAAGAGTATGCAGCATATTTATTCTACCTTATAATATACCTTGATCCTTTGTGGAAAAATTCACTCCCACAAAGCTCTGCAATGAGCTCAGCAAAAATATGCATCCAAGATGGTGGATGAAATCAAGAGAAATGTCGATTATTTACTTTAAAAAATAAAATAATTTACTGATTATTTTACAAAATATTAGTATTAGAACTTATTAGACTATCACATTGTTAGCTTAGCAACATGCTATGGCCAAACTCTATTGAAATCAATTGTAAATCGAGTCTTCACTGCTCTTTATATGAGGAACACAGTTATACATTTAGCCTACCTACCCATGTTCAAAACCGGCCACTTATCAGGTTCCATTTCAGTAAAAACATAAAAACTACAGAAGAAGACTGAAGGACAGAGGTGAAAGATATTGCCAGGATATCTGAAGTTGAGGCGGGGCTTTACCTATGCCAGGAGGCGGAGCTTTGTTGATGCTGGGGATAGGGCTGTCGAGGGATGGGGGGTGACACCGTTCGGCCCCTACACTACACAGCATGTTCAAGAGCACCTTACGGTTGGGCCCTTCAGTACAAGCGCAGGATTAGACACATGCACGCGGCCACACCCACACCATGCACACGAAAGAAAGAAAGAGTTCATGTTGACTGAGAAAACAAGAGCATGAGTCATTCGTGTAGTTAAACACAGATATGCAAAAAACATCATGACACGCAAGCGTCACATGGTTTGTGGCGATAATCTCACAACAATTACAACAGCCAATCAAAACATCAGGACCCATCAGATAGCTTCTGCCGGTTTTTCCAGAGAATAGCTACTGTAGACTTATGATGAAGAACACATTTTAATACTATACACAATATATATTGCCACTATCCATGATACATATTGTTGCATTTTTGTATTGCGATATATTGTTACACGATATATAGTTACACCCCTACTTTTTTTTTTTATTTTAAATAAATAACTACTCAAAAAAATATAGTCTTTGCGGATTTAGAAACATGAAACGTGGAACGATTGGCTGATTGAAAATAAAACGCATCACCTTTAAGGCAAAAACAAAAGCAAATCATTAGTGCGTCAACAAATGAACTTTACATAAACTTGCATTGTGACATGTTGCACAGTTGTATATATATATATATATATGCATATCAACAAAATTTATGGTAGTTTACAGTTAGATAATATTATGCTTGCGTGCAAACACCCCAAATGATGTCATGCAAAAGGCTCTGGAAAACTGTGCAACTAGAAATTGAAAGAGCTTGAACACAAATCTAGCCTTCAATCTCACATACATGATCTCTGATAGCATCTCTCTCTCTCTCTCTCTCTCTCTCTCACCCTTGCTGGTACGGGCGGCGATGAGTCCTGGTGTCTCTCCCACGTCATTGTGAACCTCCACATCTGCTCCGAACACCATGAGAGCTTTGATCAAGTCCATGTGGTCCAACTGTGGGCCCAGAGGACACAGCATATAAGAAAAAAGACACAAAATAGAAAAGGTGTCCGCTTTACCTACAGGGTTCCTACACATTTTCCATTTCAAAATTCCATACTTTTCCAGACTCAAATATCTAGACCTCCTTCCAAACTATTTTTCAGAGCATATTTAACATGATTGTCTATATGTGTTATATAGTAGTCATCTGTAAATATATATTTTTGGTTTTCTTAAAGTGATCATATGCTCTTGCATGATGAGAAAAAACCTAAAAGGCTTTATAACCTGCATATATTCACCATATTCTGCATATATATATATATATATATTCTGCATATATTCACGCTCAAACATCAGTTTGATACTGTAATTGATGATTGGTGATCGTGCAACAACCACAAAGTACAGTTTGAAGTTCAAAATGTTCAACAATCAAACAATCTTTGCCGTATGATACATTTAATATTAGAAAGTCTTAATTTTATATTTTAGAGAAATTATCACGGGCAATAGTCTGAATTCTTTAAACACTGATATTTTTCCATACTTTTCCAAAATTGAAAATTACTTTCAATCAAATTTCATACTTTATCAGACTGTGTAGGAAAACTGTACCCACGTTTTCTGTAAAATTGTTTCAGAAGGAAAATTGTTAATTATCCTGTCGATTAGTGTGATCGCGTTACCTTTTGAAATATAAGAGCTTTGAATTGTTTGTATGAAATTTTTATTTTGCTTATTCTTGTACACAGTGTTTTTGTCCACTAAAAAAAGTATGAATCATTTTCGTTAATTGAAAAAGCTAAAATAAAATAGAAATTTTAGATGACAAGTGTATGCTTAAAAAACTTAAATGAGCATTAGTCTAAGTAACTGAAGTACTACATTTAGAGTTAAAACTAAAATGAAAGCTAAAAAACAAAAAGCATAACAAAGACTGAAAATATATATATAAAAAAAGCTAATTCAAAATATGATTAAATACCATAATAGTAAATAAATAATACTAAAATAACGTTTTTTACTACATTATTTAAAAAAAAAAAATTATGACAAACTCATTTTGGTATTTTCAATAAATTAATTTAACTTTTAATTGTTATAATTTAATAATAAATAAATATTATTTATTAGTTATCAATACTTATAACAACAATTTTTTTTATTAAAAACTGCATAAATTAAAGGAAGTACAACAAGTAACATTATTATGCATAAATGTTTCATTTAAATTTAAAATTCATTTATTTGAATATTTTTTATTTTATTTTATTACACATATTGGGGTGAAATATGAGCCAGCCATGTTCTTGACAGGCCTAACGAGTTCTCTCTCATACCTTCATGGCGAGGTGCAGTGCTGTGTTTCCGTCCTGGCCCTTAATGTTGGGGTCGGCTCCGTGTGTCAGCAGAGTCATTGCGGCCTCAAAGCGCCCCCTCTTGGTCAGGATGTGTAACGGACTCTCTCCGGTCTTACTCAGGTAGTTGACGTTACATCCTCGGTCCAGCAGTACGCGGCTCATCTAGAGAGAGAGAAGACGCAGGATGGTCAGAACACAGATAGTATCGGCCTCAGACCGTCGGCTGAACGTCTGATGCATAAGGCACACACAATGGGAAACACTTCAGGAGTTTCGAAGGCGTCATCTGATTGGTTGAATTCTACAGGATTTCCGGGAGACGTGCGTGTCGTGTCAAACCGTAAGATAATTCCTCAAGTAAGGGTGTGTTCACACTTGTAGTTCGGTTCTCTTGGTTCTTTTGGTCCAGACCAAAAAAGAAAATGATACATTCAGTCCTGGTTCGCTTAGCGTTCACACTGTCATCTTTAAAACGGAGTCTAAAGATTCAAAACAACAACAAAAAACGGCTTTTATAGCGTATATTTTGCAACTGAACATCCAACACAATGCTGTGTTCTGGGATAAATGCGTTCGCTATATGTGCGTAGCTACATATAATCCCTCCGTCACACACACACACACACACACACACACACACACACACACAGATCTGCTGTGAGGAGATGTGGTTCTGATGCCTCTACCGATCTGTGATGGGTAACATCACGACTATGATGAGAAAAAACAGATACGCTTGAGCATTCTGCCCTTTTTAGGGTCTCATCTTCCTGTGTTTGGTTCGTTCACATGTCTTTGGTCCGTGATGCGTTCATATTTCAGTCGAACCGCACCAGAGTTTGTTAGGAAGCGGAGCGAGGCCCATCTTTTCAGCGTCTCGGTCCTCTTGTTTGATGCACCAGGGTTCAGATGGCAGCGTTCACGCTTACTCAAATGAACACTAACACTAACAGAGCAATCACACATAAATTAGTTTTAATCCAACCAAGCCTGAACACACCCTAAAAAAGCAAAGTAAGTATTCCTGACCTCGGGAGTCTTAACCCAGTGGAGAGGCGTTCCGCCATAAACCGGATCCTCCGCTAGAAGTTGATTGGGATTAGACGATAAAATTGCTTCGGCACAACTAAAGAAGAGGAAACGAGAAGAATAAGATCGATTCACTGAAACTGAATTATCAACGAAACAATAAAGATTCCTGGTCCGCACCTCTTCTCGCTAAACTTCATGGCGGCGTGGATTGGGTAGCCACTACTTCCCATGATGTCACAGCGGGCTCCGCCCCCAAGCAGACCCTTGACCACCTCCACCCTCCCGAGGCGGCACGCGATGTGCATCGGCGTCTCCCCGGAGGCGTTCAGCTCGTTCACACCCGCGCACAGTTGCGCACACAACACCTAGCGGAAACGAGAAAGACACAATCATCGAATATGGGAGTCAGTCATTCAGCAAGCGAGCCCTGAGTTGACCTCTCACCTCTATAATAAGGGCGGAGTCTTGTTTAGCGGCGCAGTGCATGGGCGTCTCCCCGTTCTTGTCCTTGATGTCGGTGCGAGCCTGACACTCCTCCAGGAGCTCGCGCACGCAGCCCACGTCTCCTCTCTCGCAGGCCAGGTGCAGCGGCGTCTGGCCCTGAGCGTCGCGGGCGTTCATCTGGCTGTGAGGGACCACAGCAATCCACATTTCAGAACTTCTGGATTTAATGTTTATCATCGGACTGAAAAGTGATTCAGCGATTTTTTAACATGAGGTTGGTTTAAGGTTTTTATCTCACGTGTGCATGTTGTGATAACGCTGCATGTTGCGCAGCTTCTCACATGCCATTTTAGAAAACTGTACAAAATAGGAAAGGGAAGTTGGAATGTAGTGTGGCGAGACATGCTAAACACTGTAGGAAACTATTTTAAATTAGTTTTATATCACTAATTTAGCTCGGTGACCTCTATTAATGCTATTTCTGCTTTTAAAAATGACTAAAGCACAGGACTATTTAAAATGAACCAATAAACTGTGACAAAAAGATTCACATCTATGATCATTTTTCCATATTAATTAATTCGATTTTTCACTTGAGGTTTTGATAATAAAGACATATATAAAATGGATAGTATTCATATTTAACTTCCATTAAAAAAAAGAATTTTTTTATTAAAAAATGAATGTCGACTTCTGATACAGTGCTTTTGACTTTTGTAGGTTTCCCATTTATAGTTGAAAAAAGCATTTTTAAGGATTCATGCATATTAAATGATTAATAAGGGCTATATGACAGTAGTTTTAGTTTGAAATAATCAGACTGCTCATTATTTAAAGGTGCTGTAAGCTGATTTTGAAATTGCACACATAATTTTCACTACTACCTACAGTATCAGATGACATTTATATTTGTGATTTGGTGAATTATAGAAATAAATAGATTTTAAAAAATGAATGCATATTAAATACATATAAATATGCCAAATATAAATAATATTAACATATTAAATATAAAATATATTTTTATTACGTAATATAAAGAAACCTGTGACCTGTGTACAGACCTCATTTTCTTCATTGAGAAATAAAGCACACTATTTAGAATTAAAGCATACTATTGTTTTTTAATAAATATATATTCTTATATATTTCTATTTAAATACAATAATTTTTTATAAAAAATTGGCAGAAACTTCTCACATATATGCTGCATCCGAAATCGCATACTCTCGAGTAGGAACTTGTAATTACTCTTCACGACCGCTAAAAAGTACGTTCTATATAGTATGAATGTAATCTGGACGTACTACATTCGCCATGTTGTCATTATCATGTGATCTACCAGCATCAGTTGCGTCGCTGCCATTCATAAATCCTCTCCCGAGGCCTCATGGGATAGTAAAGTGTCCATCGTATGCATCACACTTCAGTATCTCGCCAGAAGTAGTAGGTCATCCGGGGACTTTTGCCTGCTGTTTTATGAGTACTGTGAATTCGGACACACTTATTTTTGTCACATAAAGGAAGTATGCGATTTCGGATTCAGCCATACTGTAGGTGACCTTTAAACTTAGTCTTCCTCTTGATATCATACCTCAAAATGTAATTGTGCTTGAGACAGTCTCTCAGTCCGATATCCACAGCGACGTGAGCCGAGCTGTAGTCGGGGTGATTCCGCACACAGTCCACGATTGGCTGGAGCATCTCGGGTTTCAAAGGTGGGCGGAGCATCTCATAAAAGGGGCGGAGTTTGAGGGTGTACTGAGGAAACCAATTCATGGCATCTGCCTCTGAAGATACCTGGAACAACCTGAACACAAAGACAACAAAATCCCAATTCCTTTCGTTCTTGAAACCCACATATGACGCGCTAATGAAATTGTGGTTGATGACAATGAAACGCTATATTCCGGGGGGTGGCGTTATTTAACAAGAGCCTGGATCCACAATGGTTCTTTGTGGCTTCCCACTGCTGGTTACAGTCATGTGCTGATGGGAATGCAAATCAATTCGACAGAATGGGAGTCTGAAGCAATATGGGAGTTTTTGCAAGACCACTATGAAACCACAAGACTTTTACAGGAAATCAATTTATTGACTGAAGTGGGGTCCTGGTATATTGTGAATATCTTGACTAAAGGGTCTCACCTGAGGGCCACAGAGGAAGACTCGGGACAGAGAAGCAGGCAGTCCCACGACTGGCTCTGTTGGTTCCTGTACAGGACCAGCCGCCCCTCCTGTCTCAGTAGCACTTTCCCATTATATTCCGCCAGCTGCACATCCCTCACACGGTACGGGTTGGAGAACAGGTTTGACACGGAGCTCACCGTGTCCAATATACGGCCCAGGAACTGCATGGTGAGCTGGGGGAAGAGAGGGAAGTGGGGTGTTGATGCTCTGATTCTCCATTTTATCTGACCAATGAATTTTCACGGGTTGATTTAATGTTTATTATCAGACAGAATATATTATATTAGAATTTTTTTTTCTAGGAGGTTGGTTTAAAAATGTATATAATAAAGGTTTTTCTCTCACTCGTGCATATTGTGGTAACGCTGAATATTGTGTATTTTTTTCACATGCTTTTTCACTGGTCATTTGAGATTACTGTTTAAGGACTATATATATATATATATATATATATATATATATATATATATATATATATAGTTTTTATTTATTTTTATGTTTACAATATTATGTTTACTTTATATTTCAAGATATAAAGGTAATTATATCATAGGATTTATAAATAAATAAAATTGAACTAATTTCCCTTTTTTATATTTCTCTGGTTTATGTACAGAATCTGCAAAGTTTACATTATATTTAAAGATTCAGAGGTCATAATATTATCGTTTTTTTTAGTTAAATACATATACATACATATGTACACACACATATTATATATATATATATTTTTTTTAACATTATTATGTTTACTTTATATTTGAAGATATAAAGGTAATTATATCATAGGATTTTTCTTTTCTTTTTCAGATTTTTCTTGTTTATATATATATGAAAAATTGAACAGTTGAAGACTGGAAAAATGTTGCCTGGTCTGATGAGTCTCGATTTCTGTTGAGACATTCAGATGTTAGAGTCAGAATTTGGCGTAAACAGAATGAGAACATGGAACCATCATGCCTTGTTACCACTGTGCAGGCTGGTGGTGGTGGTGTAATGGTGTGGGGGATGTTTTCCTGGCACACTTTAGGCCCCTTAGTGCCAATTGGGCATCGTTTAAATGCCACGGCCTACCTGAGCATTGTTTCTGGCCATGTCCATCCCTTTATGGCCACCATGTACCCATCCTCTGATGGCTACTTCCACCATGTCACAAAGCTCTAATCATTTCAAATTGGTTTCTTGAACATGACAATGAGTTCACTGTACTAAAATGGCCTCCACAGTCACCAGATCTCAACCCAATAGAGCATCTTTGGGATGTGGTGGAACGGGAGATTCGCATCATGGATGTGCAGCCGACAAATCTGCGGCAACTGTGTGATGCCATCATGTCAATATGGACCAAACTCCCTGAGGAATGCTTCCAGCACCTTGTTGAATCTATGCCACGAAGAATTGAGGCAGTTCTGAAGGCAAAAGGGGGTCCAACCCGTTACTAGCATGGGGTACCTAATAAAGCGGCCGGTGAGTGTATATATGTGTGTGTGTGTGTGTGTGTGTGTGTGTGTGTGTGTGTGTGTGTGTGTGTGTGTGTGTGTGTGTGTGTGTGTGTGTCGACTCGTGACTAAAGCAAGATGAAACAACATTAGTTATGAGTAAAACTGCAAACACAGGCATCCGCAGGAACATCTGCATTGACTGGTTTGATAGAGGCAACACAAACTAATGGTTTATGTGCGTGCAGTCAATTCATTCATCTCGCAACCGAAACTCTCACCTAAACTGTTAGCATTTGACGCTCGCAGTTTAATCGTTGGCTTTTCACAATCACTAGCAAGTAGCTAGCAACTGACAAAAACCCCCCACAAAACTTGCTTGTCAAAACTACATGCCACAAACCAGTTTAACAGTCAAAAGTAACAATGTAGATGACTGTCATGATGTGTCATCCGTGCACGAGACTTTGATCAGAGCCACACCAACAGTCAGCACTCGTTTTAAACTAAACGCCACAAGTGTGCATTAATCCTCACTAAAATATAAAACCTCTTAGTCATTTATTAAATCGTTACCCACGCTTAACGCCTTACCTTTGCGCTATTTCATTATTCCGTACGGTTATTGATGTACTGAGACGCAGCAGATCGTTGACTTTTGATAGGACATCAACAATCACTACATGACAACCAACCTTGTGTAAGATTGTCTGACAGACGCAAGAGCCAATAAGCATCCGAGTTTCCAGCGCGCAACCGCGATTCCAGCCAATGAGGGGGAGGGGGCGTTTTTCGTCGACCAAAGCACTCCCTTCAGGATTCACGCATATTAAATATTTAAAAAGGGATATACGAGCAAGACTTTTTAAATAATCAAACAGCCCATTATTTAATTACCCTGTATGCTGTATTTGGAGTAACACATATCATTGTTGGAAAAATAAGACCTAAAAATAACCTGTAGGGATCGTTCTGGAGAGGTTCCCTTTAAAGTTGTCACGAAAAAAAAAAACTCCCTGCAACAACAAAGTTTTGGAGAGGTTAGTTTTTTGTCTGCTCAAACCAAAGTAGCAAAATAATTAAATTCAATTCACATTTACTTGTGAAGCTCTTTTCACAATACATATAGTTTTAAAGCAGCTTTACAGAAAATGTATGTTAGCTAACATGCAGTTAGCTAACATGTATTAATTTAGGTAGAAACATCCATTAAAGCAGTTAGTTGTGACAATAATGATATAGAAAATTTGGCAGTTGTGTATGTTGATTCAGAGTTGGTGTCACCTCAAGTCTTTGCAGGAGTTGGCACCATCTCTTTACAGAATCTAGAAGTCTTCATAAGCTGGATCCAAACTGGAGCTGACATACTCAGTTTCCTCAGGATGGGCATCCCAAAATAAAACAGAAAAGCAAATGGAAAATGACATTTCATAACATTTCCAGCAAAAGATAATCATGTGCATTTGATCTGATATAACTGTATAAGTTTAGGAGATGCATTATATGAATCCTTGGCTAAAGAAATGTGTCTTTAATCTAAATTTAAACTGGGAAAGTGAGTCTGAGCCCAGAACATTATCAGGAAGGCTATTCCAGAGTTTAGGAGCCAAATGCAATTTCACTCTCCCTCCTTTTGTGGACTTAGACCCTAAGAGAGTTTTGTGACCTTGAAGAGCGTGATGGATTGTAAGGCGATAGAAGATCAGTTAAATACACAGGAGCTAAATCATTTAGGGCCTAATAAGTCAGTAGCAATACTTTATAATTGATTCAGAACTTGTAGCCAGTGTAGAGATGATAAAATTGGTGTTATATGATTATATTTTCTTGATCTAGTAAGTACTCTAGCCGCTGCATTTTGGACTAATTGTAGCTTGTTTATTGAGGAAGCAGGACAATGCATTACAGTTATCTAGTCTAGAAGTCATGAATGCATGAATGAACTAACCTTTCTGCATCAGAAACAGAAAGCAGTTTTTGTAACATATGAAATATGATTTTCGAAAGACAAGTTGTTGTCTATAACTCCCAGGCCTGGAACTAAGATGAAGTAACAGTACATCCTTCAAAATGCAAATAGTATTTTAAGAGATTCTTTGTACAGGTTTTTTGTCCAATCTTATCTGAATTTAATTGAAGAAAATGACTGGTCATCCAATATTTTATATCTTTAGCACATTCAGTCAACTTGAATAATTTAGAGATTTCTGGTCGTATCATCGTCATAACAGTGGAAACTAATTCCATGTTTCCATGGTCAATAATATTACCAAGTGGCAGCATATTGAAAATAGCAGAGGGCCTAACACAGACCCCTGTGGCACTCCATAATTTGCCAGCACAGCAGCACTGAGCTCAAGTAAAGCTAGTATTGCGATACATCCATGGCCAGAACAGCTAGAAGTAAGTCTTGAATCTGTCATTTTAACAAGCGCAGTTTCTGTGCTATGATGTGGTCTTGAGCCTGGACTAACATTTCGCATAGATATATTTTTTTATTAAATTTTTTTGCTGGAAGGCATTAAACGGAAGTTGCGATAGTCTTTTCTTCCCTATTGTGACGTGTATCCGTGTGAAACGGCTTCTCGAAGAAAAGAGACGTCGGTGCAAGTGGGAGGTGAATTAAAGATATAAAATACTACAATATTTCATTAAAAACAAGAATTGTTCAATTTTACTTTATGGTGACTTTAATAATTCAACTCTCTGTTATTGTGATATAGGAAACCAACGATTGTGATTTACATCTTTAAAAATTGTGAGTTTATTAATCCATCCTATATATCAAGAAATATATTATGAGGAAATGTTCTAATATTTGACTACCTCTCGAGCCGTTTCCAGGACTACCGGGGCTAGTTGACCCGGATCACGTGACAGCGCGGGGTTTTGTTGCTGTCACAGATTTGTAAAGTGAAGAGCCGCGAGACAGAGCCGTCTGGAGCGCGCGCACTAAAAGATGGAGCAGGAGCTGTCGGCGACCGGAGACCGGGTTTTCGCCGCGGAATCCATCCTGAAAAGCCGCGTTAGAAAAGTAAGTAAGAAACAATTAGGTTTAGGGTGACTGGGGGTGTTTTTTTACGACGTAAAGTACACAGAGGGGGGTCATCTTTCGTTTGTTCCGCGATGCGGAGCTTCAAGGCGCCTGCAATGACAAGAGGGGGAGGCCTACTTGCAGATGTTTCCCCGTTTAGCGACCCAGTGCGTTTATTTACATTGTCAGAATGGAAATAACAAGTCAAATGTGGGTCATTTGGATATGCAACTTGAGTTTATGTTGTAAAATTGGGTTGTGCTGTGCTGGGAACTGACAACAGCCCGCTAAAAGAGCAGCAGGGGGAGGCTAAAAAGGGACAAAGTGTCTGGCATAAGTCCATGACAAAATCAATGCATGCTGGCTGACCCAAGATTCAAAGATCTCAACAATGCAGGAGGATCGAGTAGTTTAAATACTGCACGGTGTCATGCCACATGGTTTAAAGCGTTGGTTGTGCTTGTATTAGGTTATATTTAGATAAACACTTTACTGACCCCCAAAAATCAAATAAATGGGCATGAGGTTGAAATAGAGCATGCATTGCTCATGCATTCTTTAGTTAGAGTGAAATAAAGAGGATTTTCCGTTGTCTTTCTCTTTGCAGGGTCGAATCGAGTACCTGGTGAAATGGAAAGGTTGGGCTCTAAAGTAAGTGTGTAAAATATATAAATATTTCAATGGATAGGCCTATACTTTCACATAGAGTTGCAATGCAAACTGTATTTTAACCTTTTCTGTTGTTTGAATGCAAAGGGACTTTCTTTTTTTGGTTTTACTTTGAGACATTTTTGCATTTTCTGCACAAGTATTGTGTAACAGCTGCAGCTCTATAAAGAAAATAAAGGGATTTTTATGTTACGGCTTTGAATAATTTATTTAATAACTGGTATAATTATAAACGGTTATGGTAATTATTTTAAACCTAAGCGTCAAATCTAATTTACATAAGGAACATTACATTTACATTTTAATGGTAAGTAAACTACAACAAATTGACCCAATCCGCAAACAGTTTGTGAATTAGTTCTGGTGTAATGAAAAGAAAGTGTTTGTGTGCCTGCTGTTACTACATGACACTTTTGCATGCATCGTGAAATAGGCCTCATCATCGCAGAAGTGTCATTTGGGTAGCTAAAAAAGGTCAAGCAGTGTTTTGACATGATATACTACATCTAAAACTATTTTTTAAGATAAAAAATGTATTAGTTTTTATTATAATGCATGCATTATTGATGAACTGATATAAATTAAGAGCTATACAAATGTATTTATTGTCACACCACAGCACAATTGAAAGGATCTGTAACAAGAAAAAAACCTATAAATATAAGAGATGGAACGATGTACTGGCCAATAATCCGTACCGGACGATAAAAGCAATTATTTTCACCATCGGCCGATCAGGATTATATCGTGTCAATCAAAAGGGGGCGAAAAAATGTGTTCTGAGTCAGACTGCAACCCATACTGTGTGGGAAGGAAATCTCGTGTTGAATTTAAGGAAGGTTAACACGAGATTAACGCATTAACAGTTTAAAAATAGCTATGTTAAAGCAGGCTCTATTTGACCCTATACATTACCATTGTTCAAGCCTGGGTTGCCAGGTCTGCAGTTGTTCCCTGCACCAAACATCATTTGTAGCTCGCCCCCATCCAATAATCACAAAGAGCTTTGTTACTTGTGATAAGAAACAAAGTCTTAGCTTTTAAATTCTGTCCATTTACTAGGGCTGCACTTACTAGGGCTTGCTGGGCAAAAAAAAATCTAATTTCCGATTAATCGTTTTTCAAAATGTGGTCTATTCAAAATCTATTTTTTTTTACATAAAAATACCTAGCCCTAGCTCTTACCTCAGAAAAGTTATCCAATGTTCACAGTTTGTTAGTTGGCTATAAAAACAGGAGCTTATTATTAAATTTACTGTTAATTATACATGTATGCTTGGTTACATTTGTCACGAAGACAAGTGTTTATGAAAACTACTGTATCTGCAACTGAGTTGCATACAAACATTTCAGTTTTTATTTGAGTGTGATTATTATTAAATCTGAAAATAAATACCAGTTAAATATAAAAGCTCTGTTGTTAATTTTCACCTCTAATATTATAGTAATGTACCAAATGAGAGGATTCCCTTTATATTTTGCAGCATTATTTGGGAGAGATTTTTTTTCTTTTTCCTTAGGAAAATCAAACTATCGGTAGAGAGATCATTCTGAATAATCGGCTATCGGTTTCGACAGAGACATGTAGTATTGTGCATCTCTAATAAATACATCCGTTTATTTTAACTGAAATCTTGATGGGGAAACCTTGTACCCATTACCATTTTAAAGATTCAAATGTTTTGCAATATAGACACAGCACATGGGAACCAGAGGAGAACATCCTGGATGATCGTCTCATCGCGGCCTTTGAGCAAAAGTGAGTGTCACTTAAAGACTTGCCTTTTCCTCTTAAAACCTAAATTCTAAAATTAAGTAAAGTTATAAAAATATAAAAAGAACCAAAATATTTATTTTATATACAGTGTGTATATATGTCCCATCAGTTCTTATTTTCAGTGTAAGAGCCATGTAAAGATTGTTTACATTCATTCTTTTTCTTTTCTTGCTTTATTTTTGCAGCTTTTTGCTGCCAGTCAGTCTGGAAACTAGCCTCTATGATGAATTTTTAAACAAAGAAGATTTGTATTACACTTCAAAGGCTTTCATTTAGATTGTTATGGTTTAGGCTTGACACTAAAGTGATGTCATATTTTCCTTGGCTTAAATGGTGCTGTCCCACATTTCATAGGGAGCGGGAGTTGGAACTTCATGGCCCAAAGAAACGTGGACCTAAACCAAAAAACTTTGTACTAAAGGTTTGAGTTTTCTTAAAAATGTTCATAGAAATATATGCTTTTTTTATTTAAAAATTTTTAATACAAGTTTATGCCTTAGGTGTTTTTAAAATGTACAACTTCCTGTTTGATACTTTCGTACTTCTCGGTCATATTTGCTTTTTGCCTGTCTAGGCACGGGCACAGGCGGGTGATAGACCTCGAAGCTCAAATCCCAGACGCACTCCACTCCTCAAATCCCAGACGCACTCCACCTCAAAGCCTCCCACTTCTTCCTCTTCTGCAAGTTCAGCTGCTCCTCAGCCTTCACCATCCTCTTCCTACTCTACCGCTCCAACCCCTAGAGTGCACTCTCTCGCTGCTGCTCATAAACTGAAGAAAGACATCCATCGTTGTCATAGAATGTCTCGACGACCTTTGCCACGACCCGACCCTCTGGCCGACCCAACAGGATCCACATCTTCACCCCGTCCTCCCATCTCTCCCTTCTCCGAAACTGTCCGCATACTCAACCGTAGGGTCAAACCTCGGGAGGTTAAGCGGGGACGCATAATCTTGAACCTGAAGGTCATTGACAAAGCTGAAAATGGTGGAGTAGCCAGTAGAAGGTCAGCGCAGTCGTACACGGGGCGGGCGAAAGTCCCATCCAGGAATCGCATCATTGGGAAAAAGCATGGGGACATGCCTTATAGGCCATTCCAACATCCTATGAAGATGTTGGGCTTCCCAATGTATGGCCAGCCATTCGGGCTTCACCCCTGTGGGCCAATGTCCTCCATGGCTAATGAAGGGTCCAATACTGGAGCCAATCAAAGAGGTGGAAGCTCCTGTGGTTGCCATTCCTCTGCAACTGCGCAGAAGTTTCAGTACCAGCCTCCACCTTCTCCATCCAGCTCCAGTGGGTCTAACGGCAGCTCCCCGTCATCTCAGAAACAACTGACCCAACCTGAAGCTCCTACTTCAACTAAATTGGGCTCCCCAGCCTCATCACGTTCCCGAGATGCCTCCAAACCTCACCCAAAGTCCAGCCTGACGCCATTCCTCCCTTCCTCACCCTCCTATTCGTCCTACCCATCATCCTCTCCTGAAGACGAAGACCAGGGCTCTCCGAATCTCACCACTTCTCGGGGCCGAAAACGGAAACTTCAACATCGAACCCAGCCGGGTCAAGCCTCGGTCAGCCAGGTTAGTGACCGCAATACTGCTCCACTTCATGAAGATAACAGGGTGCCAAAAGAGGGGGACCCCGATTGGCACCCTGAAATGGCACCCAGCTGTGCCAATGTAGTGGTGACTGACGTCACCACAAACCTTCTCACAGTCACCATCAAGGAATTCTGCCATTCTGGAGCGGGTTCTGAACCCTCCTCCCCTTGCCAGGCTGACAACCCACCCACTCCCACCACAGCTGCCTCTTAAAAAGTCCCCCCTAAATGCCCCCAGCCAAAATATCTGCCCACTTAACCCCATGAGAACTTGCCATAATGATATTAACGCACCCTAAAATAGTTGCGTAATTGAAATTAAAATGTATTTTTGGTGAAATTAAGAATTATTGAAGTAATACTTAAAGGCAGGGTTGCTTCCCTTGACCTATACTTTTTAAACAGCATGTTATGATGGTTTTGTAGTGCTTCATGCCTTTCTTCCCCCTCTTTTTTTTCCCCAGTGATCCTGTCTTTCCACAGCCTTTTTGCCCAGTAATTGCACCTTGTCTTGTCACCACCAGTGCTGTAGAGACCGCCATTCCCATATCTCCAGACCTAAAGTTCAGAATCCACCCAAGAAATGTTGATCTCAACAGCTTTCTTGGACTCGAGACGTTTTTTTTTATCTTTTGAGGTGCATTGTTATTAGGATACCGACCACAAGATGCTTCACTCCTGCTTTGGAAGTTCAGCCAGTGTGGGTGAAGATCGTGTATCCGCACACGCACTTGTTAGATAACACTTATTGTGGCAAAATGCCCATTTAGGCATCCAACCCATGCATTGATCTCGCCAACTGTCTCCTTTGCTAACGAAGAACCATTGCTCATGAAGAACCCATGTCATCATTGCGCTCACTAGATCACCTGGGCGTAGACGTGACTGTATTTAAATGCACCAAGCTGCGAAATCCTGAGGACAGTTAAGTTATTTCCTTCCACTTGAACGCTTTGATCCAGATGTCTGCCGAGACTCTAAACTGACTCAAGTGTGAATGCTGAGGACTGCATCTAATGTGTGGTACTGTACGTTAAACCTTCCACACACTCAACAACCCGCTTTCCTTATTGGAGAAGTTCCTTCTCACATTTGCCTTCTGACTACAATAGTTTGTGTTTCATGGAATAGTTACTGTATTTTTTGGGGGTTGGTAACCAGAGGAAGGAGTTCAAATACCATTTTAGAGACTTTTAGAGCAAGTGGGTCTCAAACCTACCAAATATAACAGATTGCCTTGGTTGATGAAACCCTCTTTCGCACTCTCAAACGATACAGTCCGGGACCATGTTTATGGCGAGTGTTATGCTGGCGAGCTTGTCTGCAGGTCCGACCAGGTGCTAGAATTGCCAATACAGACCTGGGATAAAGCTAGCTTGTTTAGTTAGTAGGTGCTTGGGATGTGTCGATATTGGTATTGGTCCAATCACATCAATCTAGATATCGATCTAGTTTTGAAAACGATATCTGTGCATCGGTAGCAGATACATATATATACATACATAGGCTCCCCATTAGAGGCTGTTCCTATGGGCCGCTATACTTAAGCCGTCCGCCATATTGAAGCGGTCAAAGCCGGTCCGTGAACATTCGAGAGCAAGTTAACTGAGCGTCTGCAACCATAGTTAGAAGCATGTATGAATATCTATATCTGCAATAGACTTCAGCCGATGGTTTTGCTAAACTAACACAATACAAGAGGAAGGCGTCAGCTAACAAAACATTGAAAAGTTACCATAATAAAAACCTGTAATATGAGTTAATGCATATAAAAACACAACCAGCATATTCTCACCTGTGAAAGGTTCTTGCAACTAGAAGCTGCACAATGTCGTGGCATCATTGATTCTTACTGTGAGTAACGACACGCTGACCGTTACACGATGGCAGGCGCGCCGTCTCTGGAGCGGACGAATGTGGCATCTACGTATATACATCTATGAGCAGAGACACCGCTCATGTCTATTCCACTTTTACATGGGTTGTAGAGTGGAGTTACAAAGGTTAAAGGAATAGTTCATCCAAAAAAATTACATTCTGTCATAATTTACTCACCATCATGTCGTTTCAAACTCGTACCAGAATGTTGATGCTATTTTCCATACAAAGAAAGTGGATGGGGAACAGCAGCTGTAAAACTGCAAAATGAACAAATGACTCATGCGCTGTATTCCTTGTTGTATGAAGGCATCCGATAGCTTTGTGTGAAGAATAGACTAAAATGTAAGGGATTCCTTAAAAATCTGTTTTTAGAAAAGTTGCCTTGGTCCCCATTCACTCTCATTATAAGAAATAAAGAGCAGCTTGGACATTCTGCTGAATACCTTCTTTTATGTTTCACTGAGGAAAGGTTTGAAAATACAAGAAAGTGAGTACATGATGAACATTTTTGAGAGCAATTAATTTAATATTTTAAACTTTTAACGAAAGCTAAATGGTTTAGTTGCGTTATGGTGTAACTTTATTTTAGAATTTATTTAAAAATTGTGGGAAGCTTTTCACAGGCTTTTTTGGGGGTGGGGGGCAATCCAGCAAGCAATATTAGAATCGGGCCTAAAGAAACAGGTTAACACACAGTTTATGGCAGCTAACTTGGTTGTACTGAAGGATGACACTCTTCCGGAGGACAAAGGCAAACCTCATTACACGTTTTAATTATAGAACACAATTAAGTTCCACTTGTAGTCATATAGCCATCCTCTAATGGAGCACTTTTACTCTATCACTGTGCCTTTAGGGAGAAATGAACCTTAGAAAAATATGGCTTTTTTTTATTATAGTTTTTCCCAAAATTATTTACAAATATTGACAATTTTTATTATTTTTAGAATGTGACTGTGTGTTTATATACAAACTTTTTTAAAAACTTTAAACTGCTTTGGTTTTCCGGCTTCCAAACATTAATGTGAACTCTTATTTTCTTTTTCAAAGTCCTTTATTTTTGTTTATCAAAGTCATCAAACATTTATCCCAGGTCTGAAATAATTCATGTTGTTAACTTATCCCTGGTGCTGCCCCACGATGGGCGCCACGTTTGGTTCATATGTACAGTAATATATCTAATATCGAAGCATGTGTTGCATTTAGCTGCTCTGTTCGACCCCATCATGTTGTTCCCTTTACCTACAAGGTGTTCCACAAACAGCCAAGTCTTTGTTTACCTTTATATCCTCAATGTTAGAAAATAGATGTTGCTATGGTGTGAAACAATGCAAGATGGTTTCTGCTAAAGAGGTAGCGTAGCACTATGATAATATGTGGCCTACATTTCATGCAATAGGGCTTGTGTTTTCTGGGATGTAGCCACCAGGGACCATCACGGCACAGGCAAGAGATTATGTTTAAAAAGGTAAGGATGAAGGTATACTGGAGGTTACATCCTCAAATATCAGTGTCTGATGTGTTTTTTTTGTTTGTTTTAAGAATTTTTTATTATTATCTTTTTTTTTCGTGCCGTAGAAGTGAATGATATGTGCTGCCTTTATTTTATAGCCATTGTTGTTCAATTTTACTAGTCTAATTTGGGTTTGAGAGAGTATAGAACCCAAAAACAGAATTAAGTGTGATTTATATGAGTCATCTCTTTGGTAACGTGTAAGGTTAATGCCATCGATGAAGCTGATTATGATAATGATGAACTTGTTGTTATGACATTGTAATGTAACGGATGCATGATTTGAGAACCCTAATTGTACAGGTCATTTAAATGTCATACTGTTGTTGTTGCTTTGTGTGTTTCTTGAAAGAGGCTTTTAATAAAATTACTTTAAAGACACTCTTGTTGAGACACTCTTTAAACAAAACAATTCACAATTAAGTGGGTCTCAATTAAGAATTGTTTTGTTTTTCATCACAAAGCTAAAGGCTATGAAAGCAACATGTTTTCAACCGCTAGTCTAGTTCTCGCGAGATTTCCCGTCTGTGCACCTCTGCTCTCTTGTGGGCTTCACTCAGAAGAACCACATGCTATGAATAGCTGAGAAGTTTCTGGACTATGCCTTTATTTCTGGCTGTAGAAATGTCATAATCATTATATGATTCTTAATGGGAGCACAAAGTTCGATTTCTGAATGACCACAGAAACTCTATAATTAATCATCATTTTGGAGAGGCATGAAAAACGATATTCTTGCGCCTCCTGCAGGACCTGGATATATAACTACTATACACATAGATAAGACATATACACATAACGATATAAACTGTCTATATATTAGATAGACAGACAGACAGACATAAAGATATAAACTGTCTATATAGACCTGGATAGATACATAGACAGACATAACGACGATATAAACTATATAGGCCTAGATAGACATAATGAAATAAACTGTGTGTAGGATATATATACAGGCCTAGATAGACAGATAGATAGACAGACATAACAATGTAAAATGTCTATAGATGGATAGAATCAGTCAGTCAGCATCCCACATACTGTGACAGATTTTATTTTTACAAAAAGAAGAGCAAAATAGTACAGTATTTAAGAAAATACAACAAAAGTAAAAGAGTTGCACATTAGGGGGATTAATGTAGATCTATAAAGACATTGAAACATTTACGTTTTTTAACTGCTTTTTGCTTAATAGAAAAACGACTTCAATGTAAAGCTCCATTTTTCTTAAATAATGTAAAACAGGGGGTTTTACAGGAAAATTTACATTTGTGAACATGGATTTTTGCCAAGAAAAGAATACAATTTATTATATAAACCTGACTGTGCTTGTCTCTATAATTCTCCAAAAGACCACATAATAGATGTTTCCAAAAACAACACAAATTGGTCATCAATGTTCTTTGTGATAAAATCACAAATATTTAGCTAAAATGGTCTTACAAATGGGTTTTACACAGTTTCAGGGCAACTGTCACAAAAAGTGCAATTAAAATCAATATCGCTTTTAAATAGTAATGTTTAACTGGGTAAATTGTATGTATAATTTTGAATGATACCTCCTCAACTTTGTTTGTAATTAAATATTGATTAGGTATAAGCCAAACCTTTTCCCACACACAATATTCTCTGTCATTTGATTCCAGTATGAGTATATATAAGGCAAAGACACATTGCTTCTTTGAAATAGCGCTCTTATGGATGGAGTTAGGGGAAAAACAAATATTATAAGAACTTATAGGTGTGGACCATTGTTGAATTAAGTATGTTCTGATGTCTAAACAGAATACAGATTTCAGGAGATATTGCTTCAAAAACTTTTGCATAGTCCCCGGGTGTTACAGGAATCTTATAATGTGCCAAAAACTTCCCAGATTAATTCAGTAGCCACAGAAATTTGGTTTTCGTTTTGAATGAAGAGTCATCAGCTAATTGGGTTATTTTTTATTTCTCTATCAGCGATAGTAATACAGTACCTTTCATTGGACTTAATTTAATATGAGAAGAAAGAAGCTGACTTACTAATAAAAAGAGGTATGGGGAGACAGGACACCCCTGCCTAATTCCTAGTAATATTGAATCTAGGGGAAGTAGCCTACCATTTAGTTACCACCAGTGGCGTAGGTTTGATTTTGAAATTGGTGGGGACGGGGACATCAATATATAAATATATTTTAAGTTTTGATCGAAATTATTGCTAGGGATATATCAGTGTCACTGGTTATTGGTAGGGACACGTCCCTAGTGTCCCTACTAAATTCTACGCCCCTGGTTACCACCATTACAGTTACCATTTTTATAGAGGGTTTTAATTGCTGCAGAAAAAAAAGACCAAAATCAAATTTCTTAAGCGTGTCGAAAATGAACTTATGCTCTACCGAGTCGAATACAAATCTAAGAATAATATAAACCCATTATCACTAATCAGTTCTGAGTAGCTAGTCCAGAACATCCACAACTAATCTTATATTATTTGTTAGCCTATATGTCGATTTTTCATTAATTCAGATTGTGATTCATCAATTACAGAATCCAAAAACAGTTTTCAATCTGCTAGCTAATATTAGGGCCAACCAGAGCCATGGCTCTGGGGCCAACAAACAGACACACAGAGAGTTTGTGCTTGACAGGTTGGATGACGAATGTTTGACGAGTGTTGGAGGCGGGGCTTCTAGAGGAGGATGTTGCTGCGCTCATGGCTCCCAGACCGCGTATCCCAGTGCAATACTAAATAACTTCAATGAAAGGAAAAGCATTGCCTCTGTTTATAGCAGAGACGTGCATTTAAAAAAATATATATATATTTAAATTTTTAGTTTAACACCGTAGCTTTTTAAATCTCCCTTATATGCGAGTGAGCTATGGATGTGCAGGTTGCAAACCACTGCAGCGTCAAGTCTGCAGCGAAACCGCAGAGTGCAGCTGAATGCGGGCTAGAAAACGCACCAAAGAAGAAATCCCGGACGAGAAGAGGCAGAAGAGGGAAGAGACGGAGGGGCAAGAAGGCCAACGAGCCTCCGCCGTTTCTCCCACCGGAGGTAAAGCAACATTAGATGTGTCGGATCATGCTAACATTAGCCAGCGGAGATGATTCCTACTGTACGTGTATCAATAAACACAATATCAGACAGAATATGGTGTATAACATAGGCCTTTTCTACATTATAGGGAATCAGCATATTTAGAACTGCAAATGTGCAGTTATTGCTACTGCAAAATCGTACAGTTATTGCTACTGTAAAATCACAATACATTAATATTAGAGCAATTTAAAGTGGAAGAAGTTTCACACAGTCTCTGTGTGTTTTGTTTTGTTACATTTTGTTTGCTTTTTGATGACAGGTTGGCTAGTGAGTTCTAGTTTACCACAGTATTATTAATAATTGTATGATTTTAGTTGGTTAGAGAAGGCCAAGGCATCTGACAGAATTAACAGGCCAAATTGTACACTTTTTAGGCAAGAACAGATTTATAATAATAATTATGTTAGATAATAGTTTATCAAATCTATTTGACCAAACTATTAATAGTTTGTAAATAATAAAACGCTTTTTTAATGTTAATGCAGTTTCAAATAAATACATTTTATGCGGTTATTATTTATTTTGTGGTATTTATTTTTATAGCCAGTAAAAAAAAAAAAGGTTATGTGCAAGAACTGATTTTTTGCAAGAATTGATTTATATTTTTATTTAATTGATTGTTTTCCCCCCAAAATATCTTCATGTTTTTAGGCTGAAGAGGGGAACATTGAATATAAGGTATGCAAACCCTACAGTCAATCACAATCTGATTAAGTGAAATTGAAGTTCATTCTGATTTTTATCATCTCAGTTCATCCAATCATGTAATTTTTCACCCAGTTGAAGCTGGTAAACCCCACGCAGTATCGCTTTGAGCACTTGGCCACGCAGTTGAAATGGCGACTGCAGGAGGGCCGGGGGGAGGCGGTGTATCAGATCGGGGTGGAGGATAATGGTCTGCTGGTTGGACTTACAGAAGAAGATATGAAAGCATCACTTAAGACTCTTCGCAGAATGGCCGAAAAGTATGTTTTATTTTGATTGGTTTTATTTTAAGAATATTTATTTTAATTTAGAATATTTATGATTTCATTACTTACGAACCCCCTTCTATTTAATAACAAACTCCAGTCATGTAATATTTAATGCACTTTATGTTGTTGATAAGAAAGAATGTAATATATTTTCTTACTCTTTTGTATTTTTATATCAATATGGTACGATATCATCCTATTCAAATCAATGTGGTAAATGAGTTGGGTCAAAAGTAATCTAAAAGTAATCCAAAAGTAGTCAGATTATATTACCTTAAATGTGTAATGTAATGGTGGATTACATTACTAACTACAATTTTTGTCATGTAATTTGGAGTCAGTAACCGACTACAATTTGTAAGTAATCTACCCAGCACTTGCAAACATGTCACAATATTCTTCATTTAAATAATTCCCGCCCAAGTCATACGGAAAATAAAATGGTTGCCTGGTTGAGTTTGTAAGTAGTTTGTTGAAACTCGTAGTTATGGTAAGATGCGTGACATTTCCCAAACACGCTTGAAGCACTTGACCAATCACAACACACTGGGCCAGCCGACCAATCAGAGCACACTGCACTTTCTGAAGGAGGGGCTTCATAAAGACAGGAACTAAACAGAGCGTTACTGACAGACTGGGAAGAGAGGTGCCGCAACAATGTCAAATATGTGAAAAATGTGTTTTTTAACATTCAATCATTCTAGTAGAGTCCAAACACAAAATCAAGACTTTGAAAAAGGGCATAATATGGCCTCTTTAATTCTTTAATGCCAACGTGTTAGAAATGGCTTACAAGTGTGTTGTGATGTCTTGGTAAGACTCTGTGACTCTGCGCAGGGTTGGAGCTGATATCACACTTCTGAGAGAGAGGGAGGTGGACTGCGACAGAGCTCGACGGAAAATCGCAGAAGTTCTCGTGAGGAAAGTTCCAGATGACCAGCAGGTTAGCTTGTGATGCTCCTCAATGAGTTTCCATTTAATTTTCATTGTGAATTGTGGTTGTAATTTTAGTCAGACATTTCAAAAATGTAGCTCGCACATACAATGACCTGGATTTCACGAATACACCTGTGTTATAATAATTTTTTTTTTAGTAAATACATTTTTTTGTCATTTACTAAAACAAGAAAAGTTTTTCTTTTGCGTTTTTCGCGTATATGAGACAGCATTGTCAAAACTATCCCCGTTCACACGGATCCGCGAAGACGACTAAAATGCTGTATTATTCATGCCAGGCCAGTAGATGGCGATGTCACTTTGTAAAGAAACACTACGCTCCTATAGACTGAACACGTAATACGGATATGCATGACGTCACCGTTTTCACAAATTCGATAATGGTGTGGTTTTTAAAACCTTGACTTTGAAACCCGTTTTCAAAAGTTTGCGTTTTCAGGGCCCCCAAAACTCCATTGTCGTGCAAATGAACGGCCAAAACACAACACAATTTTCAACTAAAAACTGAAAAATGTTTATGTGTAAACGGTCCTTAATGTATTATGCATTATCAAATTGGTGTGTGTAGTTCCTGGATCTTCGTGTGGCGGTTCTGGGTAACGTGGACTCAGGGAAGTCTACTCTGCTGGGAGTGTTGACTCAAGGCGAGCTGGATAATGGACGTGGCAGGGCGAGACTCAACCTCTTTAGACACTTGCACGAGATCCAGACCGGACGCACGTCCAGCATCAGTTTTGAGATCCTTGGCTTCAACAGCAAAGGAGAGGTGAGACAAAAGTACACTTTCATTTCTGGTGCGTTTTATTTCTTCAGTAGAGCATTAAATGGGATTTAAATCAACTACCTCCTTCTTGCCAGCATATACGCATGTTGTTTTGAGAAATAATTTTCATCGTTTTAGGTTGTAAACTACAGTGACTCCCGTACAGCGGAGGAGATCTGTGAGAGCTCTTCTAAGATGATCACGTTTATTGATCTGGCTGGTCATTATAAGTACTTGAAGACCACCATATTTGGCTTGACAAGCTACTGTCCAGATTTTGCCATGCTGGTGGTGGGAGCCAATACTGGCATTGGTTAGTATTCATGCATATATATATATATATTTATATTGATTTAGAAGTTTTGAAAGAGGTTTAAGAACATGTTTGATGAATAAGCCATAATATGTGGAACCAAACTATGACATATTTACAATAAATTCAATAAAATATTGTTGTTTATTATTCTCACGCTGTAAAATTCTCTCAGCTGGCACAACTAGGGAGCACCTGGGTTTGGCGATGGCGCTGAAGGTGCCCATATTCATTGTGGTGAGTAAAGTGGACCTCTGTGGGAAAAGCACAGTGGAGAAAACGGTCCGTCAGCTGGAGCGAGTGCTCAAACAGCCCGGCTGCAACAAGGTCCCCATGGTGGTGGCCAACCCTGATGATGCCGTCACTGCGGCACAGCAGTTCGCACAATCCTCCAGGTACATGTGTGTGTGAGAAGAGAGAGGTTATTTATACACGTCGTTTATTGCTTTAGTCCATTTATAAACGTATTCCTGACCACTTTCCTGCTTCTCTCTGAGCCTTACCATTGTACAGGCTGTTTTTAGTACTGTACCTTTAAGATTTAAATATGTAAAAATGAGTGCCTTACAATCTACCCTACCACAGCTGTTCAACACTAGTTTGTGTATGTGTGTGTGTGTGTGTAATGACTTATCTCTCTCCCCACAGTGTGACGCCCATCTTCACCCTCTCCAGTGTATCTGGTGAGAATCTGGACCTTTTGAAGGTCTTTTTCAACATTCTTCCTCCTCTGAGCAACAGCAAAGAGCAAGAGGAGCTCATGCAGCAGCTCACGGAGTTCCAGGTACACTCCTGCTCTAACCAACACGCATATGTTGTCTGAACTCTAGATGCCACTTTGATGTCAAATTGATGTGTTCTTACAGGTGGATGAGATTTACAGTGTTCCTGACGTAGGGACAGTGGTTGGTGGAACACTGTACAGGTCAGTCCACATCTGTTGTGTCAATCTTGTCTGTCTGATGGTTTAATTACTGTGTAACAACCACCTAGCAATGCACTAGCAAGTGTTCAGAACACTTTAGGAAACCATAGCAACACCTTAGTAACCACAAAACAACACCCTAGCAACCACTTATAACAACGTATATACAATATAGCAATGTTTTAGCATTGTAGCAACTACTTAATTGGCACCCACATATCAATGCCCTAGCAACCATTCAGAACACCGTAGCAACCCCAATCAATGCCTTAGCAACCACCTAGAACACATTTGCAACCACTTATCAATGTCCTTTCAAACTCTCATAACACTTTAGCAATGCCTTAGCTCTGTAGCAACAGCTTAGCCTTAGCAACCACCCAGAACACTCTTGCAACCATCTTATACCTGTCTTACAATCACCCAGAACACCCTAGTAATTAATTAACAATGCTCTAGCAACAACTCTGAACAACTTCTTAAACCCTAGCAACCACATGGCAACACCATTGGAACCACTAAGAACAGGTTATCTGCTAACTAGCAATGTTTTAGCATTGTAGCAATACCCTCATATCAATGACCTAGCAGCCATTCTGGACACTATAGTAATCCCCTAGCACCCTAGCAACATCTTTTCAACCCCTTAGAACACTCTATCAACCACATAGTAACATCTTTGCAACTACTTTAGAGCACAATACTCTAATCACATTTGAAACGACTCATAACACTCTTGTAACGGTCATTTAACTCTCTCACAACCACCCAGAACACCATCGCAACTGCTTAGCAACACCCTAGCAGCCATTAATAACCTTATCTACTGCCTAACAATGTTTTAGCATTGTAGCAACTGCTTTGTACCTACATTTCAATGCCCTAGCACCAAAACACATTTGCAACAGCTTAGCAACCACTCAAAACACTACCCAGAACCCTCTAACAGCTGCTTAGCGACACCCTAGCAACCACTCAGAACAACTTTCTACTGCCTAACAATGTTTTACCATTTTAGCATGTGCTTTGCACCTACATTTCATTGCCCTATCACTACAACACATTTGCAACGCCCCAGCAACAGTCTTATAACTTTCTCACTACCACCCAGAACACTCTATCAACTGCTTAGCAACACCTTAGCAACCACTCCGAACATCTTTTCAACTGCTTAACCTCACTCTAGCAACCTCCTAGAACACCCTAGCCACAACAGAGCTTCAAAACTTAATCTGTAAACATTTAATATCTCTTCCTATATTATTTAAACTCCATAATGGTGTGATCACAATCACATTTGCTAAATTTTCCTGCAAAAAAGGTCCATTGTCTATTGTCAATAGTGTAGCGAAGTGTGAAGCACAGCTAAACACAGATAAGTCACATGAGGAGATCTCATTGTTACATGAGGAAATCTTTCTCCCTCATGCGAAATCTCAGATTGCATGGATTCGTATGACAGCCAATTTGACCGCAACTTAAGGCCTATATAACCTTCACACTTCAAGGCTTTTTCAAGCCAATCAATATTCAATTTGTCTTGACAAACTTCCTCTTCTAGTTAATTGACTTTCCATTCATACGCAGCGGTGTGTGTCGTGAAGGAGACCGGCTGGTTGTTGGTCCCACGGATGATGGGAGGTTCCTGAGGTTGAAGGTGTGCAGCATTCACAGGAATCGCTCCGGCTGCCGCGTGCTGAGAGCCGGACAGGCCGCCACGCTTGCGCTTGGGAACTTTGATCGCTCTTTACTACGAAAGGTCTGATCTCAAAATGAGGTTACATAGTCATATCTTAATGTTGTCTTTCACTACGATGATCTCTTTTAAAGAGTGTTTATGTTTTTAGGGCATGGTTATGGTGAGTCCTAAAATGAACCCTACAATTTGCTGGCAGTTTGAGGCTGCCATTGTCCTCCTGTTCCACGCCAAGACTTTCCGCCGTGGTTTCCAGGTCACGGTGCATGTGGGGAACGTGAGGCAGACCGCCACGGTGGAGTGCCTCCTTGGGAAGGTGTGGATTGTTTCCTTCCTGACATTAAAGCAGGGATGGGTAACGTCCGTCCTGGAGTTCCGCTGTCCAACAGAATTTAGCTCCAACCTTGAAAAAAAAACTCACCTGGCTGTAGCCTTACCAGAGATGGTCTTATTATCGGGAGATAGGAGGGTCCTTGGCTCTACTATTGGAGAAAGCGTAATGGCTAACTTGGATCACATGTGCCTAATCACATTACAGCCTTGACGTCATTGAATTTCGTTGAGAGTTCAATCACTGTTTGCTATGGGAGCTTGTTTCTGCCACAGAATAAAAAATAAAAAAAGGTAATTGCGACTTTATCTCACAATTCGGACTATTTTTTTACCTATGACAAAATTGCGTGATATATCTTTATATCTCCCAATTGCGTGGTATAAAGTACACGAGAGATATGTGAGATATAAACTTGCAATTCTGAGGAAAAAAGTTTGAATTGCGAGTTTATTTCTCGCAATTGTGACTATAACACGCAATTGTGAGAAATGTTCTGCAAAACATGCAGAATTGCGAGTTTATTTCTCACAATTGCGAATTTATATCTCACAATTCTGACTTGCAATTGTGAGATAAAAAGTCGCAATTATCATTTAAAATGAATGAGAAGTGCCTTAAACTGAATCATACCTATCACGCAAATGACCGTGACTTCTCTTATAAAACAGCATTTTTTTTCAGTGTAAAGTCTAAAAATAGATCAATCCAAAACAAATGTTTAAGAACAAACATGTTGAAGATTAGCTGATGGGCTATCGATTCATTAATTTATAAGCCGTTTTCCCAGTAAAGCAGCTTATTCAGAGTAGTGAAGCCTCCATTAAAAAAATGCTGCCTCCGGACTCCTTCCCTGCATACCGCAGCGTTAGTAGGCTTTTTTTTTGTGCAAACCTAGCAGGCTTAGTAATCCTGAAACATTAATTAGCTTGTTCCGGTGTGTTTGATTAGGGTTGGAGCCAAACTCTGCAAGACATCGCCACTCCAGGACCAACATTGCCCATTTCTGCGTTAAAGGCTGTGTCTGCATTAATCCACATACATTTGAAAACAGCGTTTTAGTTTCAAAATGCTCTCCTTCCATACAAGCATTTTTTAAGCATTTTCCAAAAGTTTCTCATTCACACTGAAACGTCTGAAAGTGCTTGTGATTGTGGACAATGCTAAAAGAATCATGTCTTAAACCCGGTTCTTTTGTGGAACACAAACAGTGTTTTGAAGAGTGTTGCTCTGTTTGCTTATCGTCACATATACGTGTGTGTGTGTGTTTGTCTTCTAGGAGGAGCTGCGGACAGGCGAGAGAGCCGTAGTGTGTTTCAGATTCTTGAAGCACCCCGAGTACTTGCGCGTGGGAGCCAAACTGCTCTTCAGAGAGGGGGTGACCAAAGGCATAGGACACGTGACGCACCTCCTTCCTTCCACCCAGAACCACGTGCCTGATCAGAACCGCAACCAGAACCACAGTTAGACATGGCGGGAGTGAGACCATGCGTCAAATGAGGACACTTTCTGTACTTGCCTTGAGTTCGCATCCCCTAGTTTTATCACACACCTTTCCTTTCCAAGCAGATTTGCCTGTGTGTAAATGCTCTTCATTCCTGTGACATTTGGAGGGTTGTGGGACAGCGATTTAACGATTAGGGTTTACGTCTGCTGGGTGTAATGGTGCTTGGAAACCTCTCGTATTTTTGCACACGTGCGTTTCACATCTTAGCTTAAAGCTGGCTGACCTTGAGGAAAGCATGTGGGATCTCCAGTCGCTAAGTTGGGTATGTGGAGCAGATTTCTGCAGGAAAAACTCCTGCCTGCAGACTGCATTATAGATAAGAAAACAATCGTAGTAGATCGTAGAAAATTTGTTTTTTTCAGCAGTAGTATTACTTTTTCAGATCCTCAGTAGTATTAAACATGTACAGTAAATCTGGTGCACACACCTCGGATCTTTTCTTTTTACAAAGATTCACACAGAAAGGCTAAAAGCAAGGGTGCGTTCACACTGGCAGTTTAGTTCGAAACGGTGCACGGTTCACCTGAAAAATTGCTAATGTGAAAACTGTCGTGCGAACCTGGGTACCGAACCCCTGTCCCAAATGGCACCTAAACACTCGCGACCTTCCTACGAGTCCGCACTTTCGACGATATATTTCGTTCAATAAAACACATGTAAGGGATGTTAGTGTTGAAGATATACCTTGGATACAAGTAAGCCTGCAGTGTATTCGCGGATAGCGAGCGCAATCAGGGCGGCAAACGAATGGAAAACCGCTGTCTCCTCGAAAGATTCAGTTTGCAAGCAGCAGAAAGCCACACACATACAGTAAACCCAAGTGTCGTTTACTCTGCTGCGTATAATAGCATCAAATTAATAAAAAAACACAATATATTTTCTATCATGCGGCGTGCATGTTTGTGATGATGTAAGGTGAACGCAAATGCACCAGTGTTCGATAGAATCAAGTCGAGTGTGAAACCAGACCAGCGCAATCGCACTCGGGCCGCAGCAAACGTGCGAAAGCCTCCTTAGTGTAGGCCTTAAAGGATTAGTTCACTTTTAAAAACACTTTTGCTGATAATTTACTCACCCCCATGTCATCCAAGATGTCCATGTCTTTCTTTCTTCAGTCGAAAAGAAATTAAGGTTTTTGATGAAAACATTCCAGGATTTTTCTCCATATAATGCACTTTGCTGGGCACCAAACGGTTCAAGGTCCAAAAGACAGTTTCAGTGCAAACTGCAAACTGTTCAAATGGCTTTAAACGATTCCAGACGATGAATAAGGGTCTTATCAAGCGAAACGATCGGTCATTTAAAAAATAAATAACAAAGTTTAAGTTTAATAATGTCAAATGCTCGCCTTGCTCTGTTCTGTGATGCACGTTCGTGACTCTCCTGTTCGAACTCGTTCATCAAAATGAACAAATCTTTTTTCGAGTCATTTGGTCCATTTAGCGAACGAAATGAACGAATTGACTCGGAAAAAGATTCGTTCATTTTGATGAACGAGTTCGAACAGGAGAGTCACACAGAACAGAGCAAGGCGAACATTTGAGCTTATAAAACTTAAACTTTGTTATTTCTTTTTTAAATGAGCGATCGTTTCGCTTGATAAGACCATTATTCATCGTCTGGTGTCGTTTAAAGCCATTTGAACAGTTTGCACTGAAACTGTCTTTTGGACCTTGAACCGTTTGGTGCCCAGCAAAGTGCATTATATGGAGAAAAATCCTGGAATGTTTTCATCAAAAACCTTAATTTCTTTTCGACTGAAGAAAGAAAGACATGGACATCTTGGATGACATGGGGGTGAGTAAATTATCAGCAAAAGTTTTTTTAAAAGTGAACTAATCCTTTAAGCCCAAAGTATACTTCAGTTTTGATGTGAACCCACTGGCAGTGTGTGTGCTGGTGCTATTTCTCTTCAGAAGTTTTGACCAATAAAAATGTTATTCTCTTAACCCCCTCACACAAGTGCTCATCAGCACAGGTGTCTATTGATTTGTTGTTACAGTTGGACAATGAAAATGAAACACCACAATCATTTATTGGTATGGTGTTGGCCCTCCTTTTGCGGCAAACACAGCATCAATTCGTCTTAGGGATGACAAGTACAAGTCCTTCACAGTGGCCAGAGGGATTTTGAGCTCTCACTGTATGATTTTTATGATCCTTTATGGTTGTTGCTTGTCAGACTGTACAATTTTGTAGCAAAGAGTTTGGTTGTCCTGTTTCCTGCTTGTAGGAGCAGTTGTGATGATGCGCCAGTACTTTATCGGAGGCTAAGATTTGTCAGAAAGGCAACTAGTAACGATTCCCCAAAATTGTCTTGAATGGAAGAAATGTGGCCCTTATTTTACAGTGCGACGCTTGCCGTAGTCGCAATGAAAACAAGGTTGTAACGGGACAAAAGTACAATCCATTTGATGTGTTGTAACAAACTTAAAGTGATAACGAAACAAAATGCACTGATTTAATTTAATGAATCGAACAATTCACAAATGGTTTCATGAACAATTTACATCGATTTTGTTTGCGTTTCATGAATACATGACCACAGCCTTGTTACTGTTCACGTAATTTAGTTTCTTTTCAGTGCGTTTGTAGGTGCGATGCGATTCGCCCTCATCTTCAGGACAGAAGAGTTAACTGAAAGGGGATTTTTGGAGCTCTGGTGTTGTAAGACCAGTGAGGCATGACTGGGATTTTATAATCCTGATGACATTGTGCCTAATTATACATTAATCTTCACTGATATGACTCCAAAAACAAATTTGTGCATATTGCATATAAGCGAGGTTTAGGTGATTTCAGATGGCTTATAGGCAGACCATGCTCGGGACGGCCCCGCGTAGAGGGTTAACTGAAATCTTAAGGCAGATTTGCGTGATCGCATTCGTCGTGAGCATGTACAGGAACCCAGATAAGGATTGTGTTTTGCGTCTCGTTCACCTGTGCCGTCCTATTTGATATACAGTGCAATTATTAAAACATTGAATGTATTGATCATAGATATGAGTGACCATTTAAAGTTACTAAACTAAAAATGTGACCGCTAATGCATAAAAGCTCATTTCATTCAATAATATTGAACATTTGGCATCATCCATGATACTTAAGCAGAATGCAAGTGTAATTTACCTGTATTGCATAGATTTTCACACGAACAATGTCAAGAATGGTTTTACGAACATTTTACAAATTTGTTCTGCTTGCGTTTCATAAATGAGGCCCAATTTCTTTCACAAATTCAGCTATTGGTCAACAGTGCATGTTGTGCTTACACAAATAATTATTAATATTGTCTGATGTGCAGCTGGTTGGGTTTCTTATGTTTGGGATGTTTCTTCATTTCACGCACTTCTGGAAAAAAAGCCTTCAAATCCGATATCTAAAGCTTTGCTATTAGTTTCTATGTAATAAAGAATTCATGTTTTATTGTGGAAACCCTTTGTTGTTTGTTATTATTTAATTTGATTAAATACATGGAATAGTTTGTCATGGAAATTACAGCTTCAAAACTAGCAAAGCTCTCATCAGCATACCAATATAGAGGAATTTGAATCAATTGTGAATTGTGAACAAAACATTCCTATAGAAACCAAGAGGGGAAAAAGACAAAAAAACAGCAAGTCAAAAGTTTTGACAAGTTTTATTATGATAAATGAGAGCTGTCTTTGCGCAATAATTTGTTAATTGTTCACAGAACACACTGTTGTAGCGTAGCAGCAAGCACCATAAGAGGTTTATGTGTAACATGGCGTTATGAACAAAAGAAAAAAAAATATTATATAAAATCTTTTTTTTTTACCTTCAAAAGATGAATGCTATTTGTTTTGCACTTTGTGAAACAAATCAGCATTTGTGAATACAGAAAATTTCAGATGGAAAATTACCACTAAATCTGACATCCTTCATATGTGATATAATACTCAGATGACTTATTAATGCATCTGTACCATTCATACATTCTTCCTTCACTTGATACTCATTCTTCCTTCACTTAACTATACATGCTTGTAATGTGCATCTAAGTCTACCTGTTCTACCAAAGCTTTTAACCTTACAAACATGTATAACATACCAACATGACACTATTCATATCTTTTCACAATGTAAATGTGATGCGTTCATCTTCGAAACTTGCTCTGCAGAATCAAGCGACTGTTGAAATGATGCCTCTCTGGAAACGTCAGGCACGTCAGTGCTGGTTTGGACATTTTTACGCAAGGCTCCTCTGTCTGGGCTTGATTCTGGGGTACAGCTACAGAAGAAAAACAAATATCAGCAATGTATCAATCATAAAAAAGGATGTTAGAGATAAGGAGAAAGCTTAAAAATAATCTAGTTCAGAATATGTCAAATTCGTAGAAGTGTAATCTTTGTATTTGTATTGGTATTATACATTTTTGAAAGACATTTATACCATTTAATGACTCTTCAAAGTGTCGAGTAGTGTAACTATCAAGTAAAAAAGTGCTGAAATATTCCTTATACAATCATAATTTACACAAAAATACTTCCTGGATGTTTGGTACACCCTACTGACTGTGGTTTGAAGATTTGGCAGACAAGTTTTTCAAATGAGCATCATATCATTGACCCAGATGTATGCAAATGCATTTCAGTAGCACTTTATTTTATAGTTTATTTTATTGTCCCCCATGTGCATACTATGTACTTATAGTAATTACAATAACTGGGTAAACCTGAACCTACAGGGAAGTCCCCCTGTAGTCAATCATTTTATCCCTTTGATTGTCAAAAAACTCATCTTTGATCACCAAAATGACATATTCAAATGTTTATTTCTTGACATTTTTTTTATTCATGCCTTAAAATAGCTTGAATGTAACTCTACACCCTTGCTTCATTAAGTATACGTGGTTCTATGAATATGCAAATTAGCCCCGCCTCCACTCACTCACACCAGCTCAGAGATACACACGTTGACCCGATTGGTTACAAAGTAGTTTGTGACGTCAGAAACAACAGCGATTTCAAACCGCGTTTTTGAGAATTTGAAAAATGAATTTGCACATGGTTCGTCTTAAAGGTATACTCCACTTTTTTTGGGAAATATGCTCATTTTACAACTCCCCCAGAGGTAAACTGTTGAGTTTTACCGTTTTTGAATCCATTCAGCCGATCTCCGGTTCTGGCGGTACCACTTTTAGCATAGCTTAGCATACATCATTGAAGTGGACAAGACCATTAGCATTTCTCAACAAAAAAAAATGACCAAAGAGTTTCGATATTTTTCCTATTTAAAACGTGACTCTTCTGTAGTTACATCGTGCACTAAGACCGACGGAAAATGTAAAGTTGCGATTTTCTAGGCTGATATGGCTAGGAACTATACTCTCATTCCTGCGTAGTAATCAAGAAACTTTACTGCCGTACCATGAGTGCAGCAGGCGCAGGCACTTAGTCCCGGTCACGTTGGAAGTTACCGAGCTGGGGACTATTTTCAGGCGCTGCGTCATATCCTTACGCCTGCTGCACCCATGGTACAGCAG